CTTATTTGGTGGAGCCTCCTTGTTAGAAGTGTTAGTAGTGTTTATATAATTATTAAATGATGATGGTGATTGCCAAGCATTAAAGGCCCCTTTGATTAGATGATAAAATAAAACAGCGTAACGTATTAGTCTAATTAGAGATATGGTTTGTTAATAAATGGAAAAATCAGAGAAAAATTGTTAGATTTTCAAAGATAACTCAATGAAATTAGGAAACCTGAAACGTTTTCTTAATTAATCGATTTACGCATACAGTTGAGAGAGCGGCGTACATTATGCACGGATCTGTGACGTAATAGAGATTCCTTTTTGCAGTTGCTCCCCCTCGCTCGTTCCGTTGGCCTGAATCTTTGACTCAAACCTGATGAGGTGAGCAAAGTTTTAGGTGACCGAAACGAGGCGTCTATTCTTCAAATTAATACAATCTTTCCTCTACCGCCTAATCCTAACTTATTTATTATTGGTGTCAGTATTATTGTGTTATGGACTAGGAATTACGGAAAGAGAGATAGAATAAGACTAGAGAGGCCTTAATCAGAGGATTCGAAGGAAATAGAATCATTCGCCTAGTTTGATTATGAGAGCCAATCATCGGTTTTAGCAGCTGGAATCGAAAAATCTATTCCCTTAGCCAACTTTACAATTCGATCTAGTAGGGATTTCGCTTTTCCCCTTCAAAATTAAGTACGAACAAGCTCAAACCTTATCCTCCCCCCCCCCCACCCTTCTCCCAATGTTCCATGCTGCTATTCGTGTCTCAGATATTATGTTATTATAACTGTTACTATTTTTATTATCATCATTATCATATCTCCAATTTTCTTTTTTAAAAATATTCATTATATTTCAGAAAATATCGACAACTTAATATAGCATGATTAATTTTAAGAGATTTATACCTCAAAAGCCCACCAGATGGCGGAAGGGAGTCGTTAAGTTCCGTAGCCTTCGTATCGCATTTGTCTGTAAACCCTTATTTATCGTAAATTTAAAACCATCACCAGAATTTAAGGGGTTTGATCCATTTTTTGATATCTTTTGGCATATCCTTAATATATTGTATAAATGTTACTTTTTCATTAATTTTCTTGGGCGTTTCTTTCGTGGGCGTTGAATCGTCGAGTAGATGCTTTAAATAAATGGTTTATAAATAAGCTAATTCTAATCATCCGATCGAACTTCTAAAATCGCATTTAGATGGCGCTGAATGTGAAAAAAAAGCTTATCCTGAGTTGAAAGAAGATAAATAGTAAATTTTTTTAAGTAGATTTCTTAGAATTTACTAGCGCCACCTGAATGTCATCTAATTAATTAAGGAAGAGAGAGAAGGAGAGAGATTCAGTAGAAAAAGAAAGAGAAAATGAGTATAGTAGGTTGACAGGAGCCGAGAGAAGAGAAGAGAAGAGATAGAGAGAGAGATAGGGAGGGAGGGAGGGAGAGAGAGAAAGCGAGAGAAAGAGAGAGGTAGAAATAGAAAAGTGAATTACCTTATTCACGCATTCTTCGCATCCCTTAATTTCCTCGCATTTCATCGGGCGTCCTTTCTTTGAGCATATACAAGATCTTGAGCCAAATTGAAATTTTTCACCAGGATGATAAGTCTTCCCCGACAATGATTTACAAACTGTTTACAAATGAATCTATTTGATACTTCTTCCCTTTACAAAATGGCTAAGAATTCATAATAAACTGTTACTGTTTTACTCTTATTCGTTTTATAATAAATAAACAACTACTGTGTTAAACGATTTGAAAAAAAAACGCGTAAAGTATATATATATATATATATATATATATATATATGTATATAAATAGTGCATTTATTCTTTAAGCTATCCCTTTCCATTGATAATTAGGCCTACATTGTGCCCAACAACCTTCCGGTCTACAAAAAGGTTGGGAATGGGAGAAATTCTAAGGCAATAATCAACTATAAAATTATATGATGTTTAGAAATTTGTACACACTCGATAAAGCAATTAAAGTGACGCCCCGGAGAAAAAAATTTAGGTCTTTTTTGACAGGCAAAAAGGGATAGAAATACAATTGTAAATTATGATTTACTTAATGGTTTATATATTTTTTATTTAGGTATAGTTTCAACCGCTTTTGACCTTTGATAATAAAAACATAGATAATGAAATATCTGTCTTCTCTATTCCACTTTAGATTAACACTAATAGAAAGCTAAGTAATGAATAGATAATATTATGAAAAAGCTACATACACTGTATATATATATATATATATATATATACGCATACTTAAGTCTTTCATTAGATGTCTATCATTTACTATTTGTATTATTTATGTAGATAATGTTTATAAATGTTACTTATCTCTTTTACGTTGTTACGTATGCTTACAAAGATGTTCCTCATAAAAAAAGGCATCCAACAGCTTTCTATACTATTTGTTGTTTATAAAGGTGCTTTTCATAAGTACTTCCTGCAGCTTTAAACTCTTAAAAACTGCCTTTTAATATTTACCTGTATGAATAAGAAGATGATCGGGTCTGCATTTCATGCCACATCCGTCAAAACAGCATCTAGAAAAGGTCGCATAAGTTTCTAAACAATCTTTATCTTCAATGCACTTTGCTTTGCTTCTCTCTGCAGTACAGTACTTTTTAACGAAACCATACTTTCTCGGACATTCACCGATCCCTAGATACGAAAGATGTTAACAATTAAAACTACAAAAGACAATTAAAAGACATAAATAGGAATAAAATTTCTTAATAATTGGCTTATTTGCTTTCGTAATTCTTTGTTTTTTTTTCTCTTCTTTTCACTTCTTAGACATTGATGAGAATTTTTCACAAAGTTTCTCAAGTGAAAGAACAAAGAAAACATTGGAATGAGAAAAACAAGTTGTTCTTCTAATATCCTCCTAAAACCATTTTTGTCAGTACCTAGCTTGTAACCCAAGGCGACCGGAGAAAGCAGGAAGATAAGAAAGCAAGCAGATATCATGATATGTGGAATATTTGCATAACATTAAAAAAACGTCAATAAACATCACCTGACAGCTATGCCTGTGGAAGAAAATCAGTTTTTTTCAGCCTGTAGAGTGTTGATTTTGCTCAGCAAATACATGTAGAAATTGTAGTTTTGTTTTATTACACTGCTTTAAAAGTTTTCACTATTCTTTTCTTTTGTATTGGCTAACAAAAATTTGCTTTTTGCTTTCTTTTTTTTCTTTTCTTTCACTCTTTTTCCATCTATTTCTCTCTCCCTCCGCCTCTTCCATATTTCTCAGTCCTTCCTTCTCTCGCTCGTATAATCTTTTACTTTTTTCTCTCGTTTATTTGAACGTTTCTTTATATCCATTTATCCCCTCAGTGTCTTTTCTTCTTTTAATAAGTTGACTCACTGTGCACACTTCTCTCTATCCTTCCCTTTCCTTTCTCTTCCTTACTGTTTCCTATTTTCATTTGTTTCATGCCTCTCGGGCTTTATTGTCTAACTGAGTCTGGCAAAAAATTCTCTTCAATTACTTCCACTATAAATACTTGATAAAAATTAAGGTACAAAGACTTGCCCTTTTTCCTTTTTTTTTATCACATTTTTACTCTTTATTTTTTTTTCCAAGTTGACTATTCACTATGAGAATACATTCCGCCACACGTCAAAACCTCGGCGACAGGATCGTATGTAATTAAAGTGTAGGCCTATAAAACCCTAAGAAAAATTATAAATAGATGGTTAGCTGTAGAACTTTTTCCGTTTTTTTCAATGGCAATAAATTATATTTTATTGTTCTATACTTTTTAAAAGTTAGAATTAATAATAAACATTTATACGAGATAAATGTTACAAGATAGGAAGCAGTAGCAGAAGAAGAGGATGAAGGAGAGGAATAATAATTCGTCAGGTGCGGAAAAATTGAAATCGTTGTTACGGAATAATCTAATATATGATTTGTTCGATTTTTTCATTAAAACGTTTTTATCCGATATTTCCGTTGTAATTCTTAAAGAGTAGGATTTTTCTATAAAGAAAGGAAAAACACTAATATTATAACAACTATAGAGAGGATAATTGACAATCTAACATTATTACTTTAAAGATTTTTCGCTTATTTAAATTAGGGTTAAATATAATTAGATTTTCCTTATAATAGAAAAGAGAAGAGAAAACAAAAATCATGTAGTTCTACTTAAGCTATTTAGGTCAATATCTTTTAATCTTTTAAATTTTTTTATTTATTAATGAACGAGAAAAAACTTTTGGATTTCGAAAATCGTTTTAATCCGATCAATTTCTTTTATATAAATAATTTATTGATGAAAAAAGAGGAAATAATGGAGAGGAGGAAAAATGAGAGAGAGAGAGAGAGAAAGGATAGAAAAGGAGAAAGAGAGTTACATAGAACTAAAGAGAGCGAAAGAGGAGAGGAAAGAATATAATCCACAGAAGAAGAGAAAAGCGAAAGTTTTCTTTTCAAAAAGATACCTGACTAAAAGACAGAAGAGAGTGGAAATCTAGAAATAAAAAGAATGGAGAAATAGATAGGAAGAGAGAGAGAGAGAGAGAACAAACTGAAAAAAGAAGAAAGAACAGGAACATTTCATTGTTTTATATACATTTTCGACATTGGGAAAGAATTGCAAAAAAAGAAAACACCTTTCTACCTAATTAATCGGTTTCTCTTTCGAAAACTCTAATCTTTCGTCTTTGTGGAATTCCTCATTAAATAATACAAATTCCCAAAGCGCAATAAAGAAGTAATTTTAAAGAGAAAAGGAAAAAAAACTAGGAGAATTGTCACCGTATTGCATAAAGTACTATTTTATTATATAAAAAGGAATAATGCTTTTGTTAATTTGCTATAAAGGCAACTCGTGATGTAAAAAAAAGGATAATATTATAAATGGTCAATAAAAGTAGTGTTAGCCTTTTTCGAATTTGAGAGTATACTTGTATTTGTGTGTATATGAAAAGCCATTGTAGAATTATTGTACACAGGTAATGCAGTCGTATAATTATGCGAATAAAGGCGGCTTTGGTGGCGATTGGTTGCTGCAGAGTTTCCCTGGTACATAGACAAACTGCATTTTGCTGTCGCTCTGCGTTCAGTGATTTTCTCCCGGAAAAAGAAATTGGAATTTCCGCTTTTACTTTTTGAAAAGAAAAATTAAAAATTAGGCAAAGAAGAAGATTTGCAGAGGAATAGGAAAAGGCTAATATAAGAAAAAAGAAAAAACTATAAGAAAAGAAATAAGGAAAATATGGTTGAGGTAGGCCTGTTGTTTATTGGTAAGAGAGAGAGAGAGAGAAAAGGAGCGATTTCATCAAACTAAGTACTCATTTCCTACTCCTAAATGCACACTTTTCTCCACGAAACAAGATTATTTTGAAAGGAAGCGTTCTGGCGGCGTCTAATTAAAATTAACGCCTTTCTCCCTCTTCTCCCAAATCTTTTCGGCTTAGTAATCCATACATTTTTAAGGAAAAAATTTTCTAAATTTCATTACTATCTATTTTCTCAACAGTTTCTCCAAGTTCAAGGTCATTAATAATCCTTATTGCTCCGTTAGCTCTTTTTACTCAAAAACAAACAAGAAAACAATAAAAGTATAATTACAGTTTAAAGCGTTAAAAGAGACGCTAAAGATTAACATTATATTTGAAAAGCAAAAAGAGAAAGAGAGAAAAATACGGTATGTTCAATAACAATTAATTATAAATTTCTTTTAGAGTTTTACTTTTCCGAGTTAGATCCTTTGCAGTTGTGTTTGAATAGTACTTGTAAATTTAGTGTGATATACTACGAAGTACTTTCTAAGCGGATATTACCCTTAATTAGAGTTAATGTGACTGAAAAACGAAAGAAATCAAATAGACTGTTAATTATAACCAGTTAATGAAAAGGATATGTACAGTAGATCAATATAAAGTATACAATATACGTATTTAGATATGTAGTATAGAGTAATAAGACTATATACGGTATTTGTTTATATCTAAAGATGGATAGACATAGAGAAAGATGAAATTCGAATTTACTTTCCAGTTTTTTTATTGACTAACTGTTGTATTAGAGTGCGGGAAAGTTTCCTCTGAGTTGTCCTTCGGTCTGATCGCATTACCAACTCACAATGGCTTTATTATTTATTCCTAATGGTTTTTTTTACAGTATTTAATAAGTTTGCAGTTTATTAAGAGCGTTACCAATCATAAAAGGAGAAGAAGAAAAAAACTTATTTATTTCTTTTATTTATTCATTTCCTTGTAAATTAAATCTCTTAGGCAGAGGCGTTGTTCAATTCCATAAAAAACTATAAACGTTCTATTGAGTGGGGGCGAAGTCGATTTCTGAAAATGTTCTATTTTTAGAAGGCGCGTCGAAGCGTAAAAACGGCGTCGATATTTGTTGCTAAAAAGGGTCGGCGGCTATAGATCAAATATCTACAGCGTCTACCCGCCTTAAAACGTCCCGACAATTCGTCGAATTACTCTCTAGCGAATTTGCCCTCGGGATACGGATAGGAAAATTCCCTTTTCTTTCCCTATCCCACCGACTTGTTTTACCATTATTCTCCTCCACCTAGGCATGCGTATCTAGTTTTCCTCCTCATTTGACTTAAAAGAATACTCTTTGCAAATTTTTCCTGCTATTGTAGAAAACCCAAAACTTATGACAGACTGGAATAATACGGCCATCTTGACCTTTTTCGGGATAAAAAGAGTACGAGCATTATTCTAATATTATCTTGTATCATATCAGTACCGAAAAGCTATTACAGATAGAAATCTCAAAAGCTTAAACATGGTTTTTGTGATCTAAATTAGTCTCTCTCTCTTTATATCATACGCTATGGGGAGGAGGTATAAAGAGCGTCTTTTTTTCTTTCACGTCTATCCAAGTATACACAATTTGTCCTTGACACTATATTTTCACCAATTTTTTTATTCCATAACAATCTCTTTATCCAATCTAATTTTTCTTTCCAAAAGTATCATAACCCTAATAAATATATATAAAAAAAATATGAAAAATTAGGCAAACATTCCAATTTATTTCCAGTTTTTCGTAGTGCCGACATCTAGTTTAAAAATTATTAATTTTTTAGTTTTAACAGAGAGACAAGTCATTACTTTTGTTGTTTGTCTTTCAAGTATTATTCGTATTATTATCAGTCTATACATATATATACTATTTAACCTTGACCTAAAGATTGTATATTTGCTTATTATTGCAAATATTAATAAAATATTTTTATTCCAAAGATTTTAAAAGAAAAAACATGGAATTTTTGAATTCTTTAGTTGTTTGTCTACCTATTTCTAGATGCAAGTAATACTAGATCTGATCCTATGCATAAGGTTGTTTGGTTAATTTATTTATATAAAAAAAAATGATATTGTAGATGTTGTATAGGAAATTTTCCCTTACCAAAGCAAAAATTTGTAAAATTTTCCTATTCTTTTATTATTTAAATATAATTTAATTAATTAATTAATTAATTAATTAATTAATTCTTTGACATTTTTTTTTTATATATGATATATAATTTTAATGAAGCTTTTTAAATTTTTCTCTTCTTCTTCTTTCTTACCCTCCTCTCTCTCTCTCTCTCTCTATTATTATTGTCATTTTAATTGCTATATAATATAATGAATTGACAATATATCAGTATTGATTATTTCTTTAAGCAATCTTGACAATAATCGCTTAATTAATCCGAAATATTAGAGATTTAATATTTTATAAAATAGCTATAAAATGAATTTATATAATTAAAAGACTATACTTTGATTAACTTAACTATCTGCAATTTTTTCCCACCTATTATAAATTGTATGCTTTTTTAACATCATAATAAAGTCTACTGTTTTTATCAGATATGTAACAGGATGTACTGCAAAGTGTTACTGTTTGTTTATCTCATGGATCTATCATTAACCGAATACGTGAAAGTAGAAACTGCATATGGACGAGTGACGGGAACTAGAAAAGTTGTAAATGATTTTCGAATTGAAACTTTTCTTGGTGTACCATACGCAAAACCACCCGTAGGAGATCTCAGATTCCGTAGGCCTATTCCACTTACTCAATATCCACCAGAGGGCATAAATGCCACAAAATTGCCTCCAACTTGTATTCAACCAATTGATACATTATTTGGTATGCACGAAGGTGTTGAAATGTGGAATCCCAATACAAATATAAGCGAAGATTGCTTGTACATGAACATTTGGAGACCGTGGAAAAGGAAAGGTTTACTTCCGATTTTGATTTGGATTTATGGGGGAACTTTTGTATCAGGTAGCTGTAGTTTGGATATTTATGATGGTTCTGTATTGGCTGAAAAAGCTCAGGCAATAGTTGTAGCAATGAACTACCGTACAGGACCACTTGGATTCTTTTATTTAAATGATAGGTTTGTAATATTGAATATTAATAATAGAGATTTGTTTACGTTGCTTTGTTTCACATTTCTTATCTCGCTTCCTGCTCCATCTCTTTTGTGTATTGTTTTCTCCTATTCAACTATCTCTCTTCATACTGATCAATCATGATGTATTTTCTTGTATTTTCATGTATTTTGATAAATATCTTTTGTTTTTTATCGTAGTTAATTTTCTTTCATTCATACTCAGAGGTGGAGAAGTTCCGGGTAGTCAGGGTATTGCTGATCAACAAATAGTCATTAGATACTTCTGGAATTATGCTAAAGATTGGGGTGGTGACAGGAATAGGATAACACTTTCTGGCGAGAGTTCTGGAGCAGTTTCAATAGGATTGCACATTCTCTCTGACGCCGTCCAGTACGTATCAGGGGTAATATTGAATTCAGCCACTCCTCTAGCAAGATGGGGAGTTCAATCCAGAGAAAAAGCGCTAAAAAGGGCTGAGCAATTAAGCAGGAAATTAGGTTGTTGGTTAGAAAATGAAATGGATACAATTAAGTGTCTTCGCTCAAGACCAGCAAAGGATTATCTCGATAATCTATATCATGTACAAGAGCATTACTTCGAACCACCTTTTGGACCAACAATCGACGGAAGCATATTAAAAAGGGATCCGAGAGAAATATTGAAATCTGGAAAATTCAAGAGAATACCAATGATAGTAGGTAACACAAAGGATGAAGGAATGTACTTTTTTATATATGGATTTCCAGAGGTATATAAAAAGATGAATAGCTCTTCAACATGGGATAGTTCAGACTATTTTTTCTATTTGAGAAAAATTATAAAATCTGTATCAGAGAAATATCATAAGGCATAAAATTTTCACTATTCATAAGCCTTTACATAATTAAATAGTTAATTAGTAAAATAACTTAAAAAATTGGAAATAATAACAAAAAACAAGACAGAAATCTATTGAGAAGATTTCTAATCTTTTATTCTTCTTCATTATTATTAATTATTATCATTTGTTCAAGTTTTTCATGAATAGTGAAAAATTTTTAAGATTGTTGAAAAGGCAACCGACTTTGAATATAGAACACCGACAGAATTTCGTAATCAACCCAAATTACGCGATATTATGGACGATATTGTAGGTGATTTGGAATTTGTATGTTCAACGGTTAACTATTCAACTTATTACGCAAGCCAAGCGAATCCTGTATATATGTATAGATTTATGCATAAAAATGAAAAAAACCCCTGGCCGGAGTGGATGGGTGTAATGCATGGTTATGAAATCGATTATGAATTTGGAACTCCTTTCCGATCGGATTATAAATTTATCAAGTTTAACGACAAAGAACGTCGATTGAGTGATAGTATAATAAAGTATTGGAAACAATTCATTCATAATCCAAAGTAAACAAATATCATAATTCAAATTATAATTTATAAACCGGTGTTAATCTTCTTTAATATATTAAGTCTTTTTTTTCTTTCCCATCTTCTTTAGGAGGCCAATAAAGTTTAATAATAAAAACTATTGGCCTAGATTCGATATGAAAGATAGGAAATATTTGAAGTTTAACATCTCAAATTCAGATGAAATTGGCGAAGGTGGACTTCGAACTCGTAAATGTAAATTCTGGGAATCATTCATACCAAATTTAATCACAAATTTGGATAATTTACCATCAGAATTAGGTAATTTTCTCTCTTCTTTAATTTCTTTCTAATCTTTATCTTTAATGTTTATTGAGTTCTATTGTTCTCTCTTTTATTTTTTTCTTTCATCAAAATAGGCTATTCCAGTTTGGCTTGTATAAACGTGGCAAACATTTACGTTTTAATTATAGTGCTGCTCAACATTACTTAATGCACCAGTGAATGCCTTTTCCTCCCTGACAAACTTTCTTTCTCATGTCATCGCACAGCAACGAACTTTTCATCAGCAGGAATATTATAATTAGTTAATTCGACTCTCTCTCTCTTTCGTCTATCTACCTATTTATCTCACTCACTCTCTCTCTCTCTCTGTCTTTTATGAAAATTGACTTTAGTATGGATTTTAGCAAAAAGAATGAGAAATAAAAAATACTAATATATAAAAGAATAGTATTTATGTACATGAATGTAATTATATGTTGCATCTTTGCGTCTGTGTACAATATTGTATTTAGGTTTGTTGAGAATAATAGAAAAATAAAATAGCGTTGTGAAAAAGGCAAAGACTTCTGTTTTTTATTATATTCCATTAATATTAATATTACTGCTCTCTCTCTCTCTCTGTCTCTCTTTCTTTAAATAAATCTATTCACGTTAGATGGCGCAATACTCTAAATAGATGAGGGAGGGACAAACAAAATATAAATTCTCGTCTATCTATCTATTTATCTCACTCTCTCTCTCTCTCTCTCTCTCTCTGTTTGAAAAAGTTCTCTTACATTTACATTAGTCTCTTTTTTTAAGCATATTGGTATATTTATATTCTGTACGTTATTCTTTTTAACATAAAAAATTATGTCACAAAAGAACTATAGCTCCAATTTGAAAGAGTAATTTCCATCTTTTTCGAAATCTTTTTAGCTATTGCCTATTCTAGAGTCAACCTGCATTTACACCTAATCATTTAATTGACCTTTGGCAAACTTTTAACACAGGGTTAAGTTATTTTATTATTCATCTAGGATAGATATAACTTACAATAAGATCTAGTGGTAATTAACAATAGAATGAAAGTTGTAAAATAAAGTAAAAGTAAAGGTGTATATGTATATTGAATTCATTGATCGAAGTTGACACAATATGATACTTAGATGGCGCTTATTGCTTGTGTTGTCTTTTAGCTAGATAAAACTATTTACTTTCTTCCCTTTCTACCATTTCTATCTCCCCTTCCATCCTTCCCCACTTTTCTGTCGCTCTTTTACATAAGAAGTATTATTGCCTAAAGATTAAAACAGGTGGTGAAATATCTACTAATTAATGGTTTGTCAAGAAAATCAAGTACATCTTAGCATTTGCCTAGCTATAAATAAACAAATTAAGTAAACGAAAGAAATGCAAGGTGAGTTATTATTAATTGTGTCAGTTTTTTTTTGATCTTTTACAAGAATATTATTTTGAACAGACGAAAATAAAAGTGAAATGTTTGCTTAATTTAGTTACGACAAGTAAATTTTAATTTTCAGCAATTGTCTTTCTAATCCAATCAACAAAAGAAGAAACTCTGGTATAAATTCCGGGAAATCCTGGTCTTGCGCAACCGTATCCAGTTGAGACGATACCATGGAGTACGAATTGAGAATTTCCCCTATCGTAGCAAACCATAGGACCTCCAGAATCGTACTGACAAGCGTCTTTTCCACCTTTGTCATACCTAATAAAGAAACAAGTAGCAAAGTATTTTACTATTATTCATACGTTGACATTTAATTTTGATTTGAAGAAAGGCTTTCTAAAGTAATTAGTAAAAAACATCATTTTGCGTATATATTTTTACATATATATATATACAGTATATATAATTTATAATTAAGGAATATTAGGCCTATAAGAATTAATAAATAATGTTTTATTAGTATTTGTTGCAAAGTTTTTTCCAGATTATTTTAGATAACGAAAAAGGATGATAATGAAAAGAAAAGTACAAAACATACACGGAATTATAAAATATATATACATTACAAGTCTAATTGAGTGGGGAACAGAAATATGAAAATATTGAATTTTAATAGATAATCAATTTCTTATGAACTTGCGAATTAATTTTTATAGATGAAATACAATCGTGCAAGTAGATGGATTCTGATTACAAATTGTATTCTAAACATAGGAAGTCTTAGCCTAACCAAGGACGTTTCAGAATATTACCATATCTATTATACAGAGTATATATTTATTAGTATATACACACACAGTTATATACAAATGGATAACGTCTATTTATATCAATAATAAGTATATTAAATATAATTCTTTAGAATTTGTTTTTGAATCAGTTTCCTTTTTTTACCTTTTCCTTTCAGATTCCTTTTTTTATATCTTAGTGCAAAGTCATTTATAATTTTTTTAGAGCAGTTATCAAAGATACACTTATTTTTATATATTACTTAGTACAATCTGGCTTTTATTAGAATTGCATGAAATAATGAATAGTATTATATATTTTGTTATTGTTCTAAGGAAACTAAGCTTTTTTTAAGTTTATTAAAGTATTATAACGCGAATTATTTGTCAATATTTCATAATCGGTCAGTAACCTTGAACCAGAATTTGACTCGGAGAATACTTTACTCATTTAGGACCGAAAATAGCAGAAAAGATGTGTGAGATTTAATTTTTTCGACTTTAACAGAATAGGCTTATGAAAGAATATAGACAGCTATATTTGTAAAAGTTTATTAGACTTACCCAGCGCAGACAATTTTATCAGAAATTTCCAATTTTGCCTTCTCTATTACACCGTACATCTCATTGCAAACTCTGTTGTGTAAGATCGGAACGAGAACGTGACGAACGATTGTCGATACATTACCAGCTAGAAAAAGAAAATTGAGATTATGGTAACGGCTGTAATCGACTGTATTGTTTTCAAAGACCTACATTATTATTTGGAGACAATCGCTTGTTTTAAAACTACTATTAATTATGCTATTAACTTACCTTCTATAGTATGACCCCATCCGGCAGTAACGCACATTTTATTAACGGAGGGGGATTCATCTTGTTCCGGTAGACAGGCGATGTTGACTATATTATTCAGATTTACCGGACGTTCAAGCTTAATCAAAGCTATGTCTCTGTCCAAAGTTTTACCAGCTGTTTGTTAAAAGAAGACGGTTTTTGTGTTCCTTAAAGTTTTTCTATTTAAAACTTATAAAAAATGAAAAAGGATATTTTATGTATAAAGAGAGTTTAAAAGTGAAATATGACAAATTGATCAAGTTAATGCAAATAATTCCCATGCTAAATGAATTCATTCCGAATGAAATTAGGTTCCACTTGGAGGTCAACAAATTGAGAAGAACTACTTTAAACTTCTATGAAACCATACATTTTTAAACTAGATTAACATTTACATATCAAACAATTTGTATATATAATTTTATATATATATATATATATATATATACAGTATATCTATGTATTTGCAAATTGTATATATAAAAACTGTAAATCAACCAAAAAAAAATCCCATCATAAGTACAATTGGCGTTTTTACATTCTAAATTAAACCTTTTGACCTAGTAGTAAACTGCAGTATTCGTTAATTTATAGCTTTCCTAATTAATTTATGATGTATTTTTCTTCTCTTCTTTTTATGATAAAACTTTTCATTTACCTATTCTTTCAGGATGGAAAATTATTTTTGTCGGCTTCATTTCGACGTGTTCAGTGTCTTCTTCGAATAGATGATGTTCCCCTAATCTTACTCTCCACGCATCAGGTCTATCGGTCAAGAATGGAGCCCAAATGTTTCTGTATTTATTAATAAATGTATAAAATTTTTTCAATAATATGTGTACTAACTCAAAACAATGAGCAGCGGAAATTAGCCATTGATCTTGTATTAAAGTCGCTCCGCATAAATGTTCAAAAGGGGAAGATTGGTTCATTTTTATGCGTAAAGTGGCCAACCATGGCCATTCGCCTGTTCTTGCCGACTCTCCTCCAACAATTCTCTTACTCCATTTACCCTCATATTGCGAATGATAAGCATTCTTGCCACAATGGGATGGCACATAAGCACCTATAAAAGAAAAAGAAATAGCATATAAGGTTTAGTATCCTTTAATCTAATAGATAACTCGTATAAAAGAGGAAAATACAGTGAAAACATTGAATGTCAACTATTGAGCTATTTTCTCATTACTACTTACGGAGTAGTTCCTCCCATATTAAATCCCTTTTTGGAAAGGCAAAAACCTGAAAAAATTAATCACAGTTATTTCCGTATACTTCTGTTTCTTTATATACGTAGTACATATATATATATAATGTACATCAGTATCTTTCTTTTTCTTTTCTGTTCTCTTTACATTTCGTCTCGCTCTCTTTCTCTCTCTCTCTCATATCTTTTTAACATTAAAATCGTTTATTTCCAAAGAATCAATAAAACAAAATAATAACATTCTTTGTTTTTCTATCTCTAAAGAGGATTTTAATTAAAATACTTTTTTCTTCTTCTTTTTAAAATTATTTTCTTAAGTGAAAACGAAAACTTTATTATATTACTTTTACCTCTAACGTTAGAAAGAGGATGAAGACGATCCTCTTCATAGCGCTCTTTCTGAACGAATGCTTCTCTGCCGCTTAGTGACGTCATCGTAATCGTGACAGTGACAAAACAGAAAATTATTATCTATTGCTGAGTATATGAAAGTAAAATAGGAGACAAAATGGTATTAATTTAAAACAATATAAAAAAAGGAAGGCCGTAGTTGAGGATGAGGAGGAGGAAGAAGAAAAGATAATTGATGAAGTTTATCTTTAATGGTAGTATCACATTTGCTATAAAGATTATAGTGGAAATAGTCAAAACGTTTAGTTTGTTTGTCTTGCTAATACTTTTATAAATAAATTTGCGATATTACAAAATTTATGAAAGTAAAAAGCTTTAATTGATAATTTTAATATCTATTCACTTGTTACACTCTTCCTTATCTCTTTCGGTTTCGATATAAATTAAAGGAGAAGAAATCCTAATTAATCACCTATTTAAAATTATTCTCCAGAAAAAAACAATTAACTGAAAACAGAAAGCTACCTTTGCTTTTTCATTAAAAAAACAAAGCAGAAGAGGGCAAATAGGGGAAGGGAGGGTAAAAGAGACATATAAAGGGGTTAAGATGAGAAAACAGAAAAGGAAAAAGAGGTTAATTTTTGTTGTTTTGTTGCTAAAGAAGAGTACTATTTTTTATCTATAACTTTATATATACACACACACACATATATATACAGTATATACAGAATATATATATATTTACATATACATTTATAAACGTATTTATTTTCTCTTTTCCTATTTCAAACTGATGAGTTATGCAAACTAACGATAAGGAAAATGTATTTACTTCAGCAATCAATCATAGTGCATTTCTTACTTCTTATATAGCAAAATGATGAATAAGCACTCTTTTTCCTAATTTCATTAAGCAATAGGAAAAAAGATATCACTTGAACGGGAATTATCTAAATGAACTATAAACGCATTTGTAAATATTCGATATGCCTAGAATATACTAGTGCAAACATATTTAAATGGCAGACTTTTTTTTATGTGCACATAAATGCTGTAAAGATACATGTAGTGTATATGAGTTTAGAGTGACAGATAGAAAGAGAGAGAGGGAGAGGGAGAGAAAGAGAGAGAAAGAGAAAGTATATGAATGAAAGAAGCAGAGATAAATAGAGAGACTCTCTCTCTCTCTCTGTCTCTCTGCCTCTCTCTATCTCTCTCTCTCTCACACATACACACACACACACAGACAGACAGAAAAACAAAAAAAAACTATATACTTCTTTATTAGTATAGCTAAACGAAAACTATATATAAAACACTAATTAGCAACTATATAAAACATTTCGACACTAAAAATTTAACTCTTTTATATTAATACAAAAATTGATAGACTGTCGCTATAACAACGTTCAACTTGATTTGTTAAAAAACAAGAGCTATATAATAAACGAGAAAATAGAAAACTATACTTTATTCTCAATTATATACTATACAGTATATACTATATAGTACATGTTCCTATTGAAAGAATATAGGAAAGGGTTGTAAAAAGCAGTATCTAACTTTATTGGCAGAAGCAAACAAATAAAATAATAGGCATATATTAATAATTAATAATTTCATATTTAATATTACATTCATATTTATATGAATAATTATATTCTTAGGCGAGGAAGTTTTGATTAATTTAAATAAAAAATGTTTATAATGTCCTAATGCGTCTACACGCTTATTTGTAATTTATCATATGGTATAATAAGCTAAACGCGGTTGCTTTCGGATGTTAATTATAGAACAAAGTAGTCTACACGCACTAGAGTAAGGAACTCCGACTGATTGGGAGCTCTCTCCTCTTATTTTATACCAAGCCTAATTATAGGCCTAAGACTTACCGTTATCAATAATCTTCATATGCTCGAAAGAAGTCTGTGTTTGATTAAAGAAGACACTAAACTGTCTATTTAACAATATAGTTTTTCAGCTATACCTTTCCTTTACATTACTACTCAGATGTTGTAAGATTAATTTTGTAGTTTGGTAAATTTGAAAGATTGCACCATTTTCTACGTTAAAAGTTAAAATTCCGCTGTTTTTACAAAAAAGAAAGAATTATAACTTGACTTGTATTGTATAGCGTATTTATTCTTCTATTATCAAAGTATCTTTAGACAAAAGTTTATAAATTAAGGATAGTCAGATATTTGAGGTTTTTTTTCCCCACTTTAATCAATTATTAATATGGAAAGGAATTTCAGACAAAAGGTAAGAAGAAAAAAAACAACCAATATCCTATATGAAGAAACATTTTAAAGGAGGTTTAAAAATAGAATAAAGCCCATATAATTAAATAAATCTTCATTTGCATTTCAAGAAATCAAAATAAGATTGACTAGTATTTTCTATTTTTCTTTCCTATTCACTTTTATCATCCCTTTACATTTCTAATACAAACATATTTATAGGTTGATAAAGAGTGTATAATTCTCTTCGATTGAGCTTTCATTCTTATTCTTATCGTCCTTTACCAAGAAGAATAGTAAGAATAGGTAATAAGCTTTCAAATATTCGGTATACATCATGCTCTTTCTTGCTTTTCTCTTCTTCTTCCTCCTTCTCCTTCTCCTTCCTCTTCTTGTTAATCTTCACCTACTCTACATAATTCTCATTTCTTTCTTGATTTTCTTTTATATAAAAAAAAATCAACGTTAAGTTTGGCTTTTTCGTCTGTTTTTTTTTTTATTAGGATCTTTTTTAACCTTCGACGTTTTTATTAAAACTTTCACGGAAGCACGTTTCACCTGTACTAGAAAATAGACAAATTTTTATACCATTACAGAAAAAAATGGTCTATTTTGTATATTTTAATTTAAAAAAGAAAAACAAAAATAAACAGATGAAAGGTCTAAGTAAGATACACGAAGACAATAGTTGTTATAGTAACTGTTATAGTAACTAGTATAACTTGTAATAATTCAGTTAAGGACCTACTTTCTGGAAACTCCCTAATGTATTTACTGCCGAAAATTTAGAATTAAAAAAGAGTAAAGTATAGATTGTATATGTAAATGTAAGGAAAAGAAATAAACAGTATATATATGTATACTAATATATATATATTGTATATAAAACTGTATAGAAAGTAAAAAACGAGGATTTTTTAAAAAAAAATTTTGTTTAAGAGCTCTTTCCTCATATTTGTTTTTGTTCTTTGTCTAACTAATTATAATAAATCGCTTCTGCCCAAGCATTTAATCTATAAAAACAAAATACTGCAATTGCAAAATATTGTATAGGAGAATAAAATTGATAAATTGTCTTCATTCTTCTCTGGCTCCGTCACTCTATTATTTGCTTACTCTCTCATCAATACATTTCTCTTTAGTACAATGCAGAGATATATTTTCTATTTATTATAAAACATCAACAAAAATTTTGTTGCTTATTCCATGTTTCTCACTTTTACCCTTTGTTTCTACATATTCCTTTGCTCTTTGCTCTTTCTCAGTCAATAACTTTGGTTCTTCCCCCCTCCCTCTCTTTGGCTGTCTCTCACATGGCTTTATAATGGAAATTAGTCTATTTTTAGTTCATTCTGCAAAACAAACATTTAAAAATTGCAATGCCAAAATAGGGTAATATATCATTGTAATATGTAGATATGATAAAAAATAGCATTAGGCAATAATGTTTCAAAATGTTGATATAGTAAATTACTATGAGAATATTTAATGTGAAAGATAGAAATATAAACTTTTAATAAGTAAGGAAGAATTCATTTGTCTAATAAGAAGAAAATCACTAATTAGAAATTAATATTGATAAAATACTCAGTACTAATTTACCATTTATATAAATACAATTATAGGCTTATTTTGAATTTATGGCCTAATATTTAACCAAGTCGAAATGTGTTTAAAAACATGGAATATATATAAAATTTAAGGATGAAAGGAGCAAGAAGAGAAGACTAGATAAGGGGAAAATGATAGAATTTCCTTTTTTTTGCTTGTGTAAATTAAGCATCAGTAGATTTGTTTCAGCTAAATTTTTCTTTTTAAACTTCTACTCAACTTATTAAAATATGCAATTAACTGTTTTTTATATAATTTCTTTTACGTAGTATAAGATGCTACTTAGGTATCTTAAAGATATATTTATGTATATTTTTAGGTTTATTTACCTTATTAAAGAATTATAAGGAATGAAAAGATATTTTTGATAGTTTATAGGCTTATATATCCAGATATTATTAAAGTTAATTGGTAGAAAAAACAAGTAATTAAGGTCTGTTATTAGTCTTTCGTAATAGCAATAATTTTTGACACTGCAGTAAGTTTTTTATGCAGTAAAATACTTCTCACTCAGGCGGAACATGAATGGCATGTTGTGCTTAAAGTTTACTCTATTCCTAGTTGTTTTCTGTTTACTTGCTGATAACGCCGATAGTGTGTGGAGAAGAAGACGTAGACGATGCCGTAGGGTTGATTGTCAATGGGGACAGTGGTCTGAGTGGTCTGAGTGCACTAAACCATGTGGTTTTAATGGCGTTAATATTAGAAGTAGATCTGTTGTAAGGCAAAGCTCATGCGGTGGCAGAGCTTGTGAAGGTAGTAACGTGGAAAACAAACAATGCAAACTTCGATGTCAACACGGTTCCCTATTTAACAATAAATGCAAATGTAAGAAAGGTTGGAGTGGAGAATGTTGTGATATTGGTAATAATAATAACATTAATATAATAGTTTCTCTTCTATTTCTTCTTTTTATGTTAATCTCTTGTATTTCTTTAGATATTAACGAATGCTTGAATAATCAACATAATTGTAGTCAAATATGTATAAACACATATGGTTCTTTTGAGTGTAAATGTAAAAGAGGTTATTTTCTCTCATTGGCTAATTCTACGTGTTTAGGTAAGTAACCTTTTTGTAAGAAATGGAACAAATCAAGGTAATTATACCATTGCCATATTTAGATATAGATGAATGTACATCAGGCCTACACAATTGTACAGCTAATTCAAAATGCAATAATACTGAAGGAAGTTATCAATGTGGAGAATGTAAGAAAGGTTACACTGGAAATCAGGAAATAGGATGCAAAAATATTAGAGTATGCTCAAACGATGGATTGTGCCCATACGATCATTCCGAATGCAAAGACGTTTCTACTCTACAGAACGGTTACCGATGCGTTTGTAAGAAAGGATACGCTGGAAATGGTACTGAATGCGGTATTGATAATGATGGAGATGGTATTTCAGAAGAAGAATTAACCTGCTGTCAAAAAGACACATGTCCCAATTTTGATAACAATAGAATAGAGAATTTTACAAATTTTGTTCCATATTTCTATAAATCGAATTTTCTAGATGCGCCAATCTGGAAAGTTGATAACAATACTGTTACTCAATTGCGCAATTCATTTCCAACAGTATTCTTAAATGATTATGTCTTTAATGGAGTTGATTTACAGCTAATTATCTCTGTTAACAGTTCAAATGAATATAAAGATAACGATTATATAGGTTTGGTATTTGGTTTTATTAACTCAACTAACTACATAGCTGCTCTATGGAAAAGAGAGGATCAAATTTAGTAAGTAGATATCATAATTAAATTTACATAAATGAACATAACGTCATTTAGAAATTGTATACACATGATATAACAGCAATGGCTTTGCTGCGTATGCTGGATTACATATAAAAGCTATTAAAGCATCTACTTGGCCTGTACAAGTTATTCCAAACCTCTTGTGGAGTACAAATTCGGTGGAAGATCAAACAGAAACAATATGGAAGGACACTCGCAAAGTTCCATGGGAGTATGATGTCGATTATTATTTTAGATTGGAATATAGGCCAAAGTATAAAAAGATGAGTCTTACAGTGGAAAGATTAAAGGCAAGACCATAGTGAAAACGACGTTAAACTTAGGGACTCGACCTAATATAGTATACATATTATATATATATATATATATATATAGATTTAAGCCTGTCCATTAACAAATTAAGAGTATTTCTAATTAGATTTTGTATATATTTTTTTCTTTTCAACTCATATCATTAATAGTAAATAAATTGTTTATAAGTCGCATTTATTATACAGGATAACACGATTATCATAGAGACTGATATCCTAGAAAATAAAGCTTTTAAAAGAGGAAGGATCGGCTTGTACACAGATTCACAGCCCAACGTTAATTTCTCAAATATGACTTATATATGCACTGGTTAATATAAATTATATTAATTATTATTATATTAATTATTTCTTCCTGATTTTAATCTATCTTTTAATTCATTTATATGAGAAAAAACAAAACATTCAACACTTTTACTTTATTTCAGAGAGACAATTGGATGTTTATTACAATGATAGTAGATTGAGAAAGAAGCCTGTTAAATGATAGCGAAGATTCTATTCAGCTACCTTTACCTAAATGAAAATAAAAACGAATTTGATACGACTCAAGGATGGTTGAAAAATTGAATTTTCAAATATAAACATTATATAACCCCAATAGAAATTATTAATGAATCGAATCATTTATGCTAAATACATTTATATCTATACTCATGATTCCTCTTATATTATTGCTCGTCTTCTTTAAATATCAAAGACGAATCCTGTTTAGGATTAGGCCAAATCTTTAGTGAATCATTTGAGGGTGGTCACAGGCGAATGATTTTATATGAAGCGCTTGAACAGAAAGATTGAATATCGAATGAAGCGCCACACTCCGGTATTCAAGGTATTTAAAAGAGTCTTAACATTGGTAGCGCTTGATCGTATATAAGAAAAAAGGAATTAATAGTTTGTTAATTTATTACCTTTAGTTATAATAATATATCATAATTAAAACAAGCATATATGTATGTACATATATATTAAATGTATAAACATCTTATACATATATATATATATATATATAAATATATTGAATAAGTATTGAATTTAATAAAGTATATGTCATACAGTAAAAAGCTCACCACTTTCCACGCCCTTCTTGACATAGCGTCATAAGAATTTAAGAAAAATAAATAATTACAAAACTGGATTAACGGAAAAAATAGGAATAAAATGATTTTAAAGGCTCAATGGATATTCTTAATCTTCTATTATTTACAGGTATTTTTTTATTTTAATTAAATGATAAGATAATTAGGTTGTAGGTTTTTTTATCTTATTTCTTTTATAGTTAAACCAAAATAATAATTAATTATGCTAATTTATTCTACTTTTACAGTGGAATAGTGTTGTTGATGGTGTTTTAACAGATTGTAATAATTGTACATCATCAAATTTACAAGAATGCAAAACGGTTACTGGTGGTTTTAAGTGTGTTTGTAAATCTGGGTTAGTTATTAAACTCTCCATATAGATATTAAGATATTTAATTAAATACTTCTATAGTTTTTATGGAGCCTATTGTTCGTTAAAACCATTGACTATTAGTGGCTGTGGAACGGACTCTTGTAATAACTGCGTCGATTCTGAGGTTGAAAGTGGTAAGAGAAGATATTTTCTCACTTAAATATAATATCCTACTTATCTTTACGATATTTTAAGCTTGTCCATCAACAACCTCAATTTATCAGTCCACTCCAACGACTTTGGAAATGACCACTACGGCTGTAGCGGATTCTGTTCAAGTTATTATTGATATGTTAGCAGCAAAGAAACAAGAATTGTCTCCAGCAGCCTACCAACAATTGGAAAATCAGATCTTGCAGCTTATCCTTAATTCCAGTATGATTTTATACTATATACAATAAAAGTGTAGGAAAGAAATTCAAATATAATCTTATATATCGATCCTTTTTAGATAAAAGAAGAAAGAGGAGAGCTATTAACGATTTGGAAGGAAAGTTTAGCGTTTCAATTACAAATATTGAACAAGTGATGAACACTCAAGGGTTAGTTAATGATTTAAGGGATTATTTGGTATTCTTATATATACCTTTTCAATCCTTGCAAATGTATAATTTACTAAGAAAACAACAATGAAACAGGGAATTTGTTTATCGAGTGATACTCGATTTTTCATCAAACGATACAAGCGTGACAAAAGCAACCTTAGAAAGAGAAATAACAACCGACAGAGTTATAGCAGCTGCTAAGAAGACATTTAATAATACTGAAATATCTGCTAAGCAAAATGATTCTAGGACTCTTGCCAATAGTTATAGTCTATTTGTAAGAGGTTTCGTTCTAGATAAGCGCGTTTTTAAACATTACGAACACGTTATAAAAGGAGCATTTTTCAACTCTCAACCATGTAAATAGTTATAAAATAAAGTATTTTATAAATAACTTTTAATTTAATCACGAAATCTTTTTTTCTACTTTTAGCTTTAAAGACTAGAGCAAACTTTAAAGTTGAAGTTTTAAGAGGAGAAGAATATTTTGGTTCTAAAGGGTTTGTATATGGAATACAAATAATAAAAACAAGAATTATTTGATGTTTACATCTATATTTAGCGAATCTATAACAAAGTTATACTACTTTGCTACTTACGAGGAAAATGGTCAAACTGTTGAAGTATCCCCATTGGAAATAGAAAAACCCAACGACGATCACATACAAAACGAAGTAAAACAGAAACCAGAGTTAAAAGAAGAACCTTTGGAGTTTGCTGATCCATCTAAATTACGAGAGATAGATTCATTTTTTCTATTAGTAAACGGAATCGTCTACGATGTTGATGAAGCCAAATTCGCCAATGCTATTCATATAGCATATCGAACTACTCTTACTACAGTAAATTTTAACGATATTAAAGTTATAATAAGCAGTAGGAAGACAGTAATATACGAAGGGTGAGTTTATTTTGTATAAACAACAGGCAGACGATTTTTAATGCTTTCAGGAAAGAATGTACAAAACTCATATACTTTCTTGAGAATACAAAGACTTCTGAAATTTTGTCTGCAACAATCTATCAGACAGTTATCGAATCCGATGTTAAAATCTCCTTCACAAATATATTTAATGAAAATTACGAATTAATTAAAGATGTAAGGATAGAGAGAACAACTAAAACTCAAATTATCAGCGAACAAGAGGAAACCAGTTCAACTTTACTCAGTCTAGATAAGTCCTTTGTTTTCTTCTCCGAAATTGGTGTTGCAAGTGATTTATTACTTAAAATTCAAACATCCTTGGAAGCCGTTGTAAGAAAAAGTAAGTATGATGGTATTTTTCGTATTCCTCTCCATCTATATTGGTTTATATTTTCGCATAGATTTCGAGCTTAATACTCTTGATGTTGACATTGTATCGACTAAGAGATTTGCTATTCCGGATAGAGATAATCTTATAACGCAAATATCATTTTTCATAAAAAATGGAACTAAAGTTTTGGACGCCCGTAGATTCGATTCTGTTAAAGCTTCTGTTGATGAAATTGCTACCAGTGTAACGCCTAACATTAACATAATTAAAATAGAGCCAAGACGCTTAGAAAAAACTGCAGTTTCCATTAAATCTTGCTTTAAGCAACTAATTAAAGGAATAGTTGTTATACAAGATAGTAAAAAATTTGAAGAAGCATTCAAGACAAGTATATTACAAGCGAATTCAGAACTCGTTAAAGATGAAACCCATATTAGGCTTGTATCTATTCAGGAAACACTATCAGAAAAGGGTGAAAAATTCTCTCAACTTTTTTTCTCTGCCGAAGAGGAACGTGTTCAAATAGACGCCAGTTTTAGAACCAAATCAGAAGTTTCAGCTTTATCTTTTAAAAGTCATGTAACATTCAAGAGAAGGGATAAGACTAGTTACGAAGTTAGTACTGAAGTCAACCTTAAAACAAGTATCTACGAAGATTTAAGATTTTTCACATCGGAAACAAGAATAGTAGAGTCTGATTATACAAAAATTGAAGAGATCTATAAAACCGAAATAGAAAGTCAATTTACCCATTATAAATCCATTGTAGTAAATATAGTCAATCAAGAAACAGTCATTTTAAAGAGCAAGTAAGTCATACTCGTTTTTTTTTATATGCTTTATCTATACTCATCTTCTTCCCCTTTCTCATTTTCTGATTATACTATTTCGTTTTTTAGGAAGAGAGTTACGAGAGTGGCGCTTTTTATACAAGATACTATCACTAAAGAGATAATTGAATCCTATAAGATCGCCAGTATCAAATTCGAAAGTATTAAGACAAAGATTGGTTCTATTACTAGTAATATTGTAAAGAAATATTCCGTAAGCCAATTGGAGAGCGAAGAGAAGAGAGAGGAGACGCTTTTTGGTTTCTTTTTATCTACAAGCGTATCTAAAAATACCAGTTTAGAAGAAACAATAGCAACATCAATAAAGAATGACGTAACTCTAGATATTAAAAAAGCGAATGTAACTGTTAAAATCATATCAATAAATGAAAGGATTAACTCGAAAAGTGAGCAAATGGTTACTCATGTCCAATACGAAGTTATGATAAATACGAGAAAAATATCTAAAAAGACAAGTTTACAAGTCTCAACTACAGAAATAACAAAAGAAATATCAAAATTAACAACATCAACTGGAATAAGCTATTCAGTCATTAAAGTAGACGAAAAATTCGTGTTTAAGATGGAAGAAACGCATAGTTTCATTGTTAAAAATGTTATAAGAAAAGAGATTTTCCAACAGCTCCAACAAAGTTTAGTAAAAACTGTTCTAAAGAAAGTACAAAATGTACAAACATCTGACATCAGCGTAAAAATAATCAATAGATTAGAAGTATTTTCAACAGAGATTTCTCAGAAAATTACAAGAGTTGACTTTTCAATTTCAATTAAAAATCAACTTATCAGCATAAATGAAATAACCAAAGTTAGTTCAACAGAGATAATTCAAGATTTATCTGTCGAATTATCAAAGAAAATATCAATTGTTCAAAATATTAATATTGAGGAAACTGTTTCCGTTTCTAAAACTTTTGCTATAACTTTCAAAGAAAAGATTTCTAAGACTGAATTTTCAAAGATTAACGAAGTTATTAAAGAAAGTTTAGAAGCTGCTAGTATTACTGATGTTTCATCTAGTGTTGTAACAGTTGAAGAAGTTTTCCAGTTGGAAACGTACGTATTCCATCCGATATCTTTAGTAATCCTTTAATCCAATATTTTTAAAACAAATAGCAAAACAGTTTTGCATTCCGTAAGAGTTATTGCTAAATCGAAGACGGAAGTGTTGAATGCTAAAGTTGAAACACTGGGCGATTTTGTCAGTGTTAAAAAGAGGATCGAAGAGAAGAATATCTTGACAATAAACAGTAAGAAAGTATCGGTAAGAATACGACGATCCTATTGAAGATTTTATACTGATATTAATTAATCCTCTCTTTTTACTTTAGATTGTTGCAATTAGTCTAGAAACAGTCGTACGAAAGTCTGAAACTCATAGGTTAACTTTAACGTCTGAATTCTCAAGATTAGATATAACAAAGGTTCAAAAAACCATCCTTAGCTTAATACAGGAAACTGATAAAAGTATACTACCATCTTTATTAATATTAAGAGAAATTTGTATAACTAATTATGATTTTTCTTAAAAAAAGGTATAACTTCAGTTACTATTGTTGGGATAACAAAGAGCTTTACCCTTGAAAAGTATGTATAATAATGAATATTCATATACAGTATATCGTAAATGTATATAATCTACATATCTGTTATTTATCCTTTATTTCAAGAATATCTCGCGAATTTTCTAACATATTCTTAAAAGTTGTAAATGATGTTCAAAAGACTATCGTAACTGATTTCCAACAAATCAATATTGTAAAATTAAGTCAAAAACTTCTACAAGAAACAACAAGAATAAAATTGGAATTTATATCTGAAAGTAATATTCAATCAACGACTGTAAGTTTTCTTTAATAATAACTAACTTATTAACTAAATATTTTCTTTATCTGTTTCTACATAATCTTCTTCTTCTTCATTTATTAAAAACAACATAACTATCAATTTTCTTGCAGATTGTTGAAAAATCTCAAATGTTTAGCCTAACGTTGAAGAAAGCAATAATTTCTACGGATATTTCTAAAATAGAGAGTGCTTTTAAGGCGGAATACGAAAAAAGTTTGTCACTCTTTTTTTAATCTTTTGTATATTTCCTTTTATTGTTCTCTTGTAATTTAAGATTTTTACCTGAGTTCTTACATTCTCTTTTTATATATTTATTTATAGCTTTATCAAAGACAAACCTAAACGTCAAAATTGTTAAACAAATTGAAAAGATAACCGAGAGTGGGTTAGTTGATTTGTTAATTATATTTATCTATTATTCTATATTGTAAAATATCTCAGAGAAACAATATGGGAAATACTTCATGTAGTTAGTGAGGAGAGTGCTGTAACTGGAGAAATAGTTATCATTGATAAAAAAGTTACCAAAGCAATATCGATAACAAATATTAAGAAAATATTAAGCTCGATAATTAGATCGGATTCTACGAAGACTTATGAATCATTAGTTGAAACATCTGTTTCAAAAGTAGCACTGAGCGTCGCAATTAAAGAAACATTTAAAACTATAATCGATAAGAGAATCGATATTACAAATATCGAAACCAGGACAAAATTTGAGCAAGTTTTGTTAAAATCCTTTAAAGAAACGGTATCAATAGGTATTTATATCTCATTTTTATTCTATTTATAGTTTTCTCTTCTTTATCCTCTTCTTTTTTTTCTTGTTAATCTTCTTCTCTCAATTAAACAAATTTCTTTCCAAAAAAAAGACACAAAAAAGAGAGAACTGAAAAGAAAGCCAACCATTTGCCATATTGAAAAAAACCGTCTTTATTAGGGTTAAATCTCTTTAAGATGGCTTCGTACATTTTTTTTCCTTTTTTTATGTTTAAATATTCATTTATGTTAATTTGAAAGGAAAAAATTATGATATTGATTAAGCCTATCGCCTATCAGAGATAATAAAGTTTTGTTCTCTCTTTTTTTAATCATATCCTGTATGATCCTTTATACGAGATTCTCTCCTTGTGTTACCTGTCATTCATACATTCATATATGTCTATTCGTGTTTTGTGCTTATGCACGTGATGGGTGTTTATGTAACGCTATCAGTATTTTATATTTCAATACTTGGTTTCTCTGGTTTTGCACAATGCTCTTCGAATTACTTTTTATCACAAATTGAAAAAGACCTTCTTCCTTTCAAATATCATCTGATGTCTGCAAAAAAATTCTGCAAAATGATCACATTTCGAAGCTATCTTATCTATAAATTATATAAAAAAAAAATCGCTATTATCTTCTCTCCACCTGGTTTGTATTGCAAGCTTTTAAGCTATTTTATCATACTATATTGGTGTGTATAAGAAATTTTTAAATGTTAAATCGCTTGTCCTATTTTTAATTAAATTACTATTCCCTTTAGAAGAATACAAAAACATCACAGTATCCATTATGGGAGTAGAAACTGGTTTTACAGAAATAGGGTAATTTACAATTTTCCCTTGATATATTAAATAATTGAAATGAAAAGTTTGCTAATTTTTTCTATTTTGCTTACTCTACTAAAAGTAAAGAGATACAAATTATCATCTATCGAGTAGTTTCAACTCAAACTACTAAACTTATCCTAAAATCTATTGACGTAACCAAAATATCAACGGAAACTTTAATAAAGAATTTACAAATTGAGAATATTGTTACAGCAAAAGTTTGTATTATTAAGTTTATGCTCTAGATTTAAAAATAATATTTACTATTGATTATAGAAAGAGAAGATTTCTATTCAAAGCTTTGAAGATTTATCTATAATTAGAAAATCAGAGACTTTAAGCGTCTTTGTTAAAAAAGCATTTTCCAAATCTGATATTGAAATATTTCAAAAATCCATTAGTAAAACTTGGGAGAAAATTAATATTTTTACAATTGTTAAGATTATTTCTACCTGGAGTTATGTAAGCGTCACCGGAGAAACGCTTACAGAAGTGATTTATAGTACTCATAATTTGTCAACCAATTCAACATCTCTAAGTGTAATTTCCGCTCAAACAATGACGTCGATTAATATCGAAACACTAGAGACTGTAATAAAGACGGAAAAAACAAGATTACAGTACGAGTTTATCAGTAAAGAGATACTCGAGAAAACTGAAACCTACCTAGAAAGTAATATCTTCGAATTTACACTCTCAACAGCCTTGAAAGAGGAAGACATATTGACATTCGAGGAAACTGTTGGAATAACTCTACAAGAAAAACTAGAAGGTTGTAGATATTCTCATTTTAACCTTTCATTATTTATAGGAAACTTGCAAATTTCTTCCATAGTTAAAGAGGAATTGGTTGCAAAATTTATTAGAAGCGTCGAAAAGACTTCTATAACAACAACTAATCAATATTCTCTTGGGTTTGTAGTTAATAACTCTATATGCAAATTATACGGAACAAATTAGGTCTAAAAGTGGCGTTTTCCGTAGGCTATCCGTATTTGTGCTTCAAGTTAGCCTTCAGACAAAAACTGGTATTGTTATAGATTCTCGAGTTGTTCGAAATTTGCTAAATGAAGAAGTAAAAGAAGCTATAAATCTAAGTGAAACTGGAACAAATGTTACTTACAGTGAAAGATTAGTTGAAATTAAAGAAAAGACGAAATTAATATCAAGAAACCATCTCTTCGGTATAACTTTCCAACAAAAAGTGTCCGATACTCAAACCGAAAGAACCAAACTCGAGCAAGTTTTCAAAGAAACCTTATCAAGACAAAATACAGGTTTGTACCATTCTTTTTCTAAAAGAATGTGATTTCAAATTATCTTGCCTTTAATCATATAAATTTTCTATAGAATATACGGAGATAAGCGTAAAATTTGCCTATGTCGAAGAAGTATTCATTTCGTTTGCAAGATCCGTTTTTATCGTTCATTTTACTGTTGAAACTAAATCCGAAATACTTAGAGTATACGACCTTAAGGAGATTTCAATAACCATTGTTAAACAGGTAAAAGGAACATAAAGATTTCGTTAAGAGTATAATACTCTTATTATGATTCTTTATCATTCTATTTATTGTTTTCTTTTTACAAAATATATATTAGATAATTAAAGAGAAGAAGATTACATCTATTAAAGAGGAAGAATACTCAATTGTTGATATCAGTAAGGAGAAGATTATACGCAGAGTGGAAACATTCTCCTTAACGTTACGTAATCAATTTTCTATTGCTGACAAACAGAAGATAGTTGAGATCCTTAAAAAAACTACACGAGCAAGTTAGTAACATAGATTTATAGTATGATGAATTATCTTATTGTTCATTTTCTCTTTTAACTTAGCTTCCATTGAACTAATCAGTATTGAAGAAAAAATTACTATTACGGGGTTATTATATCATTAATATAACTATACTAATTTAGTCATTCCATCAATAACTTGTGACTATTCTCTATAGATTAACGGTTACCAGTGTTTTATTTATACAAAAATCTCAAAATGGATTAATAATTAATCCAAATTATGTTGTTAAAACTTCCATTGAAGAATTTAAGAAGGAACTAGTAAAAACAACTTTTACTTCCGGCTTGATTTATACAGTTTTTGAGGAGACAACTAAAACGTTTTCGGAGAAGGAGACGTTTTCATTTGCTCTAAAAATTGGAGTTAGAGAGGTGGATTACACTCTAATTGAGAATAAAATTAGTACTTTCATTAAAACTGTTATTAGTGGTTAGTTCATTAATATTCATATAATAACTTAATTCGATATCGATATATTCATAAATAGTTACAACTTCTATTCAAGTAAAGATACTACAATGCGTTGAATCGGTAACGGAAACTGGGTAAACATTTAAAAAGTATATAAAAAGTACTGTTAATAAAAAATTTCAATAACCTTTCATAGAGAAGTTGTCTACAAAACTGATTACGTTGTCATGACATCTGGCATAACAATCGATTCAAGAACAATTAGAGAATTTAAAACAACTGAAATACAAACTTTCTTACAAGTGAACATTTACGAGACGAAGGAAACATATTGGGAAAAATTTGTCTCAATTCAGAAGACAAGCATAATTAAACGAATGAATTTGCAAACTTTAACAGTTTCAAGTCAATTAACTCAAGTAACCATAAAGAAAATAACTGATATCCTACTTTTACAATATCAAAAAGTATTCAATTTCATAAGCGTTACTTTCATTAAGCTAGAATCTTGTTTCATTGAAAATGGGTATGCCATAATCTTCGTATAAATGATAGTAGTATTCTTAATAATTCTCTTCTTTTCCTTTCAGCGAGGAGGCATTTATAATCGTTTATAAAGTTGAAAATAATTCAACGATTATTAGGAAGATCGATAACATTCAAGTTACATTTGAGAAGATAAAGGTACAGATTGAAATGGAAGATATAAAAACAATCAAGAATACGTCATTAACTCTTATCGACGAAACCAAAATGAAAATTACAAGAAGATTAGAAACGAGTTATATTAAGATAAAGGAAAAAGTATCAAGAGAAGATTATTCAAAATTTGAATTAATAATAAAAAATTCATTAAAGATAACTGGTAATAAATTAGAAAAGTTAATTTATTCATTCATTAATTAAATATTTTTGTAATAGAATCTACAACCGTAGTTGTTAAAGTTCTCAGAACTGAAGAGAGGATAACTATAACTGGGTAATTATTAAAGTTGTAAATATTCAGTAATTAATTCAATACTAATATTCATTCATTCATTTTCTATTCAAATAGCGAAACCGTAATTTTGTTGATCTATTCCGTGAAAAGAAAGAGTTTATTAGTACACTCTCAACTGATATCTATTGAACAGACTAGTCTTATTCAAAAGAGAATTAGCGAAACTGTATTCATTTCTAAAAGAATCTATACAGTCTCTCAAGTAAAACTTGAAGAAAGTATAAATATTAAAGAGCTCTTTAGTTTAACATGCAAAATGTTCATTAAACATGAACATAGATTAATCATTGAGGAGAATATTGCCAAGGAATACAAAGAAGAATATAAATTGGATGTTTCAGTTAAAATTCTTGTGAAGATAGTAAAGATTATTGAAGAATTTACTGAAACAGGGTTTGTTATTTTTATAACTTTTATACTCTTTTATCTCATCTTTATTAAATGTTTTCCTCCTTATCCTTTTTAGGGAAATTATCTACAAAACCTTATACAACATTGTTATCGGTAATAAGAGAATTAATTCGAGATTAATTAAAAATGTTAGCGTTACGAGAATTAAGAAGATTTTTGAGCTATCTACTCAAACTAGTCTCTACTCGTCATTCGTCGTTGATATTACAAAGACTACCAAGATTTTTAGAAGGAGTGAATTACATCAATTTTCGTCAATTCAATCGATTGAAGATAAAACTGCTATTACTAGTTTAATTAAGGAAAGTTTAAAGATTTTAAATTATCTAGACGTTCAAATAAAGATAATCAAGTTTGAAGAGAATATCTTTGAAGGGAGGAGCGTTTTTACTTGCTACTATTCAGTCGTTCGGAAGAATGTCTATATAAGAAATATAGATATTAGACGTATCACTAAAGAGACTTTAACACAAGTTTCGATTAACTTGAATATACTTAGTGTTAAAAAGGAAAAGATTACTTTTGTACAAACTGAGAAGATCATAAGAAGAATAGAGACCTTATCGATTTCCATCAGAAATACAGTTAGTATAGCCGACTTTGAAAAAATACAAAGAGTTATTAAAAAGAGTTTAGAAGAGAGAAATGCTATAAATGTTAATATAAAAATCATTGGTATCGAAGAATACATCACAGAAACTAGGTAAGTAACGCCATCTCGTTTTCTTTTGAGAATTTTTCAAAATAATAGGCGTCTCTTCTTTTCTTTTAGCGAAACCGTGACAAAGTTAATTTATACGGCAACTACGCTTACATCTACTACGAGGATAAACTTGCAAAGTCTTGTTGAATTTTCATCGTCAATCTTTGAAAAGTATCTTAAACTTGAACTGTTTTTGAACAATAGAATTTATCAATTGGAAAAATCAAGTATAAAACTTATAAGAATTGATAAAACTTTCTCATTTACATTGAAGGAAAGTATAAAACTTGAAGATTATGTAAAGATTGAAACAAAATTGGCAATAGAATATTCAAAAATCTTAAAACTACAAGTTAAAGTAAAGATCTTAAGACAAATTGAAGAATTTAGCGAAAATGGCGTAGTTTTTAAAAGAATTATATTTAAAATAGAAAGTTTAGATAAAAAGTTGATTGATAAACGAAAAACTGTTGAAATATCAAATGAAATACTTCAAAAATCAATCTTGAATATTAAAATTGCTGGTTCAATAACGAAAACATATTCAGAGACTTTAATTACAAATATTAAAACCTCTATTAGAACGGAAAATACTCATAATTTCTTAATAGATAAAACAGTAAGTTTATCTATATCTTATTCAATTTTATTAATGTAATTTCAATAATTTCCCTAGGTTTCTTTTGAAAGTGAAATAATAAAGAAACAATGGGAGAGTGTTATTCTTTCTAGTTGGAAGAAAGTTCATTCCGGTTCGTTGTTATTCTATATACTAACTATCAAAAAAATTTTTACAGTCTCAAAGAAAAGAACACAAGAAGAGAATTTTACTCATTTAATCACCTTATCCCTTTTGTCCGTTTCTTCATTGTCGCTTTGTTATATACTGTATTTATTAGTATCTCTATATATATCAGCTTCCAAATATTGTTACTTATTGTGTTTGTTGTTGAAAAGGAAATACGGAGAGAAACTTAGCCTATAGCTCTAACTTATTACCTATTGAATATGTTTATTATTTAATTTCGTTGAATGTACATTTTCTTTTATTTAGATACAACGGATATAGAATTAAAGATATTGGGAACTGAAATAATCTATAAACAAGGGTAAACAATAAATAACATACTATTTATAGTTTTAAGACAAAACGTTAAACTAATTAATTAATTAATTATCTTAATATTTTTTTTAGAAAAGAGTTTACTCAAATTATTTATAAAGTTTTTAATAAGAAAACTCAAACTGTTTTACGAGAGATCGATGTTAAGAAAATTGACTCTAAAGTGATACAACAAAATATTGACGATGTCAAGCTGACAACTATTAATAACGAAAAAATAACTGTAATTATTAATGCATATATATTTGTATATATACTAGTAATTATAGCTAATTAACTAATGTTATTATTAGGTGTTTGCCTCATCCGAACTTGATATCAGGGAAAAGACTACTTTCAAATTAACTTTGAAAACTCAAATACAAGAATCAGATAAACAAAAATTCGTTCAAGCAATAAAAGAAGCTGTTATCAGCAGTAATAAATTAGGTATATATTTATTTAGACTATTTAATTAACTATTTTAAATAACTAATTTTTGTTAATTAATCAAATATTTCAGTTTTATCTGAAAATACTACGTCTGCTATCTTTGATATATCTAAGGAAGAAATTACAAAATCAGGGTAATATATATAATCTACGTTATGAATATTCATGAAATGAATTACTAATTTTTTTTTTACAGAAAAATTGTTGCAACTGTTTCAATAACGGTAAAAAGAGATTCAAAAATATTCTCTTCTCAGGAAGCGGCTTTTAATATTTCTACAGTTGAAGAACTTTTATCAAATATAACAGTAACTGGTAAGGAAAAACGCATACAAAACTTATTAAATTCTCATAAAAATCCTCTAGTTAATGAATATTTTTAATTTTTAATTAATAAGGTACCGACGAAAAGTTTAGCGACGTTTTATTAAGTGCCAAAGTAGCTATTGAACACCAAAATATAATAAATAAAAAAGAGAATATTGAAATGGACAAACTACTTTCACTAACTGTAGACAAAACTCTTAAGATAAACGAAGAAAACAAATTAGCCGAAATTGTTAAGAAACTTATTGTTAAAGAGAATACTAGTAAGTTAACTGGGAACTATGAATAAATTATGTAATTTAAGTATTAACACTATGCTCTTGCTTTATATTATTAGATATTGCAGAAGCAAATTTAACTGTTGAGGTTGTCAGACAAGAAAAAGTTATTGATAAAGCAACTAAGGAGACTAAGGTCAAAGTTAAATTGGCAATAAGAGTTAATGGGAAAATAAAGGATGCTAGATTACTAAAGATATCCAAAGAAAAGATACAAGAAGAAATCAATAAGGAAAATTTGAATATTAACATTAAATCTATTGACAAAGAGATAAGACTGGAAAAATGTATGAAGTTATTAATAAAAAATGTACCACTCGCAAACGAAGATGTTGATAAAGCAATTAAAACTCTACAAGATAGTCTTAGAGAGTCTGACGCAAAATATAAAGATGGTATCGTCACACTCTGCACAACTCGTCAAATAATAAATGAAAAATCGTAAGTTCAATGCTATTTCTCTCTCCTACCTTTCATTCTATCAATTAGTGTACGATATAATTAATAATCCTTTACTTTTATAGGGAAACATTAACGGAAATACTTTACGAAGTTTCCATAAATAATAAAACTATTGTGCAATCTGTTGATAAAAAAACAATTATTAAGAATTTCAAAGAGAAGAAAACAATTAAGAAAGAAGAATTTAAATTGGTTATCCAAAATGAAAAGACTGAGATTATCGATTTTGAAAGTACATTCAAACTTTATTCATTAAACATCTTTTCGAGGGCTAGTTATACTCAAATCATAGCTTCTATCAATCAAGTATGGAAGACAAAACTTCAATCTGGTAAGATATTTATATATATATATATATTAATAATTAGTATTTCTATTAAACAAATTAATGTTATATTATTTATTATTAGTTATGACGACAGACGTTGATTTTGATATCAAAATTACATCGTTTAATGAGGTATTTGAAAGGAAAGTGTAAGTATTATTTATTATTATTAGTAATATTATATATTAATGTAATGTTAATGAATTATTCATTATTAAGGAGTGGACCATTTAAAATTATCTACGAATATACATATACTTTGAGTAAAAAGACAACGAAAGAGTTAATTTCTGCTCTAAGACTTGAAAAATTGACATCTAATGAGTTGGATGAAATATTTACATCCATCGATATATCATTCAAATTTACCGGAAACGTTGAGAATCTTGTTTCAAAGATGAACCTATTCAAGTTAACTGTTAAACAATACGTTCTTGAAAGTCAATATACAATTCTACAAAATAAACTCGAAGAATTTTGGTCCGAAGATTCAAGTTGTAAGTTACAAAATAATCAAAAAACTAATGAAACATTCTACTCGATAGTTAATTAATTGATTAATTAGTAATTTCTTTTTTAATTAATTTATAGTTAATAGTAAAGTGGCAACATTAAGAATCGTCCAACAGCAATACTTCTTAACTTCTGAAAGGGAAACTGTTAGCGTTCTGTTTATACTAGCCACAGATAATTCAAACGCTATTATAAAATCTAAAGATTTCCCGAATTTCAATATTCAAGCTTTAACTATTAAATTTGAATCGTTAACTATAAGATCATCGAAAGGAACTAAATATCTTCTTATGGAAACTGACCAATCAAAATTAATTGAAAGGACAAAAGTCTATAAATTCTTACTAAAGAAATCAATTAAAATTGAATTTGTATCTTCATTAACAACTGAAATAAGAAAAGTATTTGTACAAATGAAGAAAGGTAAATATTTTCCATACTCTTTAATATATCAGTAATAATTTTATTTTATTATTACAGGTATTGTTAGAGAAGAAGATATAAAAATTGAATTGCTGCAACAAGAGGAATACATTTCTGTCAGCGACAAGTAAGAAAGAACTCATTCTTTATAAGAACTCATTATAATTAATTATATTTCGGTTAATTCTTTCTTTTGTTTTCTTTTTTAAGAACTACCGCTCTTGCTTCCAATTTCCTCGTACTTATAGCAGACAGCGTCCTAGATTCGAGACTTGATCTTATTACAGACTCAGATTTGGAAGATATCCTAACATCCATATCGGATTATAAAGATTCATTAGTGAGAAAGATTGAAGAAGGAAACTATATACGTTTCGATAGTTTATTCACTATTCTTACTGAAGTTAGAGTAGAACAAACAACCGAAATTACGAATGAAATCAAAAAACATTGGCAAACCAACTTACAAAGTAAACATTTCTTTACTTGCATCTTTAACTAATTAATTATCCAAATAGAATATTCATGACATATTTTTAATAATTTGTATTTTCAGCCTATACAGTTGATAAACTGGAAATAATAACGCAAGAGGAGGTAATACTAGAAAAGAGGTATACAAACTATAAATCTATACATACTGCATATAGCGTATATACAATATTTAATATATTGGGTATATTAACTTGGTATTTTTTGTATTTAGTTCTACTTTCGCTTTTGGCGTCTTTTATCTAGTAAAAACTGATAAAGAAACTCTAGACGCCAATAAAATTGACGTTAAATACACGAAATTACAAGAAATGATTAGCAAAGCTGAAATAATTTATCAAGGAACAACTTACAAATATAAAATAGTTGAGATGGAATTATTCACAAGAACAACAGTGACAAAGACTATTCTTATTGAACGAGAAGAGATTGATAAGGTTGTAACCCTCTTATCTAATCTTTATCTTCTTCATCTTACTTTCCCCCGAAATAGGATAGCTACGAAGTAATTGAAAAATCTTTGGAAGAATCCTACAAAATATCTAACAACTTTTTCGTAGATAAATCCATAGAGATTATCGTTAAAGATGAATATATTAGTCTACAAGGGTAAGACTGGATTATGATTTAAATACTATATAGTATGGACACAAATATCAATTATCATTATCTTCTTTTCCTTTTAGAATTTCGGTTATAAAACTCTTTTATAAAGTTTTACAAGAGAATAAAGTATCAATCCTAGCCGAATCATTTAATGAAATATCACATTCCGATATACAACAACAACTAAAGGAGTTTAAAGTCTTTACGTCAAATGACAAACTATTTAGATATAAGAAAAAGTTCTCGTTTGTACTTGAAAGATTCGTATTGAAAGATAACGTTGGTACCATTCAATTGAATTTGAATAAAGCTTGGGAGGCTAGATTACAAACGAATACTATCTATTTCGTCAAACAAGAAGAAGTTCTTAACGATAACGGAAAGATATTTTATCAATCGTCCTATTTCGTTGAAAATACAGCAACAAATACAGTGCTAGATTCGATTGTTTGGGGTGAATTGGAAGAAAATATCATAGAAGAAGCATTAGACGTTCAAGTTCAGAATTTACAAGATAAATATAAAGATTTTCTAGTAATTACTTCAAATGCTACTGAATTAATAAGATGGAAAGACGCTTTTTCAATTATGACTATTGTAAAAATATCTAAACAATACCATGACGATATTAAGAGAGCTTTAACAAATATGTGGAGGAATATAAGGAAGTTATCAGTGGATATTCATATTTTCCCCAATAGCGAAAAATACGTTCAAGAATCTGGGAATATTATTCATAAACTCTTTTATAAAGTTAAAGAGAGTTCAAAATTATTGAAAGCCAGTAACCTTGGTAATTTTGAAGATGGTGAAAATCAGGAAAATTTCAAAAATGTCATAGTTACAAATAATCAGCAATTATCGTCATTGGTTAGTTAAATTTATTTATATATTTATTAGAATAATTAATTAATTACTCTCCTTCTATCCTATTCATTCCCTTAGCTGTTCAAGTCAACCAGTGGAGAGTTGTATAGAATAAAGAGTACTTTTAATTTCCAATTATCGCGATCTATATTAAAAACTGATGAAGTTAACATTAACACTCAGTTGCAAACTATATGGAAAGCTTCTAATTCCGGTAAATAATTTACTATTATTAGTAATAATCTCATTATTTTCTTTGTGAATTAATTAAACAGAAGTTTCAACTGTAACGATTTTGGCCAGAGAAGAATTTATCATCAAATCTAATCTGGAATCTCTATATAAAATATATTATCTCGTTAAAACTGATAATAAAATTTTAGACGCCGTTTTTAACAGTGATATAGAATCTCAAAAGGTAATAGAAGAGTAAAATATATATGATCTGTAAAAGTTCTCAACCAATTTATATACTCTAATTGCAGATTAGAGACGCTCTTGATGCAGTAACAATTGGTCAAAGCTCTAATAAGTACTCGGAATTTTTCCAAACATATTTGGCATCTGAATTAATACCTTTCGACGATTTAATGTCGTTAGCTCTTCGTCAAACTGTCATTAAGACTGATTATATTATATTGGAAGAGAAGTTGAAAGAAGCTTGGGTAAAGAAGACATCACTTTCGGATGTTGAAATAAAAATTGTAGGTCAAGAACGCTATACATTAGACAAGTAAGAATTGATGAATTTGTTTCTATTTTTTAATTATTATTCATTGATTATTCCTCTCTCTCTCTCTCTCTCTCTCCATGAATAGATTATTTGTCTCCAAAATTCTATATACTTTTACCCGAAACCAAGTTATCTATACACCAATCGATTTAGAGATGTTAACAAAAGTTGAATTATCAGCTATCGAGGAAATTGATAGTGCCAACGGAGAAAAGTATTCTATTATCGATTCGTCAGAGAATTTAATTAGATTCAAGAAAGCCCAATTCATTTACCTTGATAATTATATTAAATTAAATCAAATGGATAAAATCATAGATATTATCTCAAACGTAATTCAAGATAATACAATCGAAATTCAGTTGGGTCCTTCGGAAGAATTTATCCATCCTACGTAAATATAAACAACAAATATAATCGTTTTATCAATGCTATACTTTTTATTATACACATTACAGAAAGAAAGTTATTATTCGATTGTCCTACTTTTCATTTATAAGTAACCTTGTTATTGATGGGCGTTTAAGACCTGCTCTATCTACTCAAAGACTACAAACCGAACTCGATTCTCTTAAATTAAAGATTGTTGTTGATACAACAAATTATATTAACGAAGTACAAACAGCTACTTTAATGGTTATTGGAATACCTAGTAGGACGGATAATAAAATCATTGCAGGTTTGCAAGCAGTTGCGTCCGGTCTGCTACCAGGATCAACTGCCGAAATTATAAATTATCAACCATATATTAGTCAAACTGGATTAGAATTGACTGGAATTTTTTATAAAATTACCTTAAATGGTGAAATACAAAATCCTAAATTGTTGAAAATTCCTGAAATATCTTCAGACGACGTCTATAAGGGAAAAGATGTTCTTAAACTGAATAAATTATATAAGTTATCCCTTACGGGTCTAATTTTAAATGGTGATACTCAACAAATGATAAAGCAAGTAACATTTGTAGGATCTTGGACTGAATATTGTAAGCATTTATTATAGAAATGGAGCATATATTATTTAAATCTATTCTTCTTTCGCTTTTAGTACAAAAGAATAGACTGGATTTACAAATATCATTCTACAAAGCCGATGTTAATTTTGGTCTTTTTGGGTAAAACCAGTTTATTAATACTATTATTAGAGATAAACTACTATAATCATAACGTCTTTCTTTTCCAGAGAAATCGTTACGAATGTATTATATTCAGTTGAATCGAATGGTTTTATTTATCATCCCGCTATTCAAGATCCTGTTCCAAAATCTACCAGTTTCCGTCAGGCAATAAAATCAATTGTACCAGTAAGTAATTTTTATATCATTTAATATCAAATATTAATATATACGATACTTTTGTTACTTTCATTAGGAAACGAGCTTGTTCGATGAGAGTCGAACGCTAATAAGACGTGATAGAACATTTAGCCTTACTTTTGAAAGGACTTTAACAAGTGACGATATCGAAAAGATTACTAATGAATTACAAGCGAAATGGACGACAATTGAAGCCTTGGATGAATCGCCAAAGATTATTGGAATTTCGGACAGAACTGATGAAACTATGGGGTAAATATACTATTGTTACATCTATAGAGAGAATCCTAATAACGCATGCTACTCGCTCTTTGTTTTTAGCAAATCTATTGTTCAAGTTTATTACATTGTTAAGAAGAATGGTATTAACATTGAAGTTACTGATGTAGACGGTCCAACCGATTTACCATCGTTTCCCGCGTTCGACCAACCAACTGTACCAGTTGAATCGTTATATATTTCGGGTAGAGTTAACGATTCATCTACTAATAATATTCAAACTGTATTGGAAACAACATGGCGAAGAGCGACAAATGTTAACGATTTGAAAGTTAAATTAACTTCTGTAAATTCAAAATTTACCTCTGTGGAATGGAAAAAAGTAACGCTAGTTAAATATGCGGTTGAATCTGAACAAAAAGGAACGCCTGGTAGAGATTCAATAGAAGGAGGATTAGGTACTTTTGGTTTAAGATTATGTAATTGCGTTGCCCAAAAGGAGAGAAAATTGGTTTTAAAAGCTGAGAGAGCAGACGTGGTGGAAAGTGTCGTATCAGAATCTATACAGGCTGCTTGGGAAAATAAGAATTCAGAGGTTAACGGTACTTTCGAAGCCAAAATTAAGATAGACCAGAGTAGGAAAAAAAGAGCTGCTACTGGTGGCAGTGGCTTGACAGTTGATAATGGGTAAATATTGCAAAACTTGATGATTTATATTGAATAGAATAGACAATATATTTATTGTTTTTCTTTTTCCTTTCCATTTTAGCACTGCAATAACTCCGATATCTGATCAAGTCACTTTAGATAGTATGCCTCCTCATCCTCTACTTATTAAAGAGCCTACACCTCAAGAGATTGACGATGAGCTAAAGAAACGATCCAATAATGTTGAAGTTTGCCACGGAGTTTGTAAACCAAAGATATGCAGATTTATGAACGTTAAGAAAACGGAATCTAATAATATTGAAGATGTTAAATTAGCTATTCAAGAAGCTTACGTTGAGGCTAATCCTGGAATGGAAAAATCAGATTTTGAGGTAGAAATAACACAAGTTCAAGAATTGCTGGATAGCAACGGGTTTGTAGATTAATAACATATTATGCAATAATTATATCTTCTATTATTTTTTATCGTAGATTAAGCTATTCTAAAGTTAATTATTGCGTATCGACAAAAGATGGATCAATTCCGCAAGAACCAACAGACGAGCAGTTAAATAGGGCTCTTAAAAAATATGGCTTTGAACTGTTCGATGCAGAAGTTACAACCGAGAAACCTGGTGATGTAGTTGAAGAGGGAGACGTAAATATACATTTATTTACCTTGTATATACAATATATATATATATATATATGTATTTATTATATTACATATAGCTAAAATGGATTATCACGGCTGGAGTACTTTGCGGTTTATTCGCCTTAATCTTCTTAATTTTGGCTATTGTCAAAATTTGGATGAGATCGAAGTAAGTTTAAGGAAAAGGTATTTAAAAATCATATTAATAATTTTCCTTTATAAAGACGTCTCCAAAGACAAAAATCAAGAGAACAAGATCGGGAATATTTACACGATGAAGAATTCTATCCAAAATCTAGAAATGGTACTTTCGCAACTTATAATACTCTTCATTCAACAGCTAACTCCTCTTAAATGATCTTTTCTTTATCCCATAATCTCTTTTTTTTATAAACGTTAATGAATTTGAAATAAAAACAAAGCAATACACAAATAGGTTTGAATTGGCATGTTATGTTTATTGTGGTTTTGAAATTATAGGGCATAATATTTCACTTGTTCTATGGTTTTATCATGTTTCAATTATTGCTCATACGATAGGTAACAAGTTGCTCCAGATTTACATATCTTGCTTAGAGGCTGTCGTTTGCTTTAAGTAAAAGCATCAATTTTCTCTGTAGATTCTCCTCTCTTCTCTGTTTTTCCTTTAGCAGTTCTTTTTCTATTAGTTGGTTTAATTCTCTGGAGAGTAAATCGTTTTCAGTTCGCTTGACTTGGTCCTCATTTCTATTGAAAAGGGAACTGTATTCGTTTTTCAGAGTATCTTTCTTGTCTTGTAATAATTGGCTATCTAGTCCCAAAGATCGTAATTTGCTTAATTGCTTATCTTCCGTAAGCTTTTTCTTTGCTAGTTCTGCCTTACGTTCCTGTTTCAATTGACTTTTTAGATCGTTTAGGAGGTTATCAAACTCCCTTAGGTCGTTTTGTTTTTTTGCTATTGCAGATTCTTTCTTTTCCTCTTTCACATCTTCGTTTTTCTTCTCTTGTTTCAAAGCGGATTCTTTATTTACAGTTTCACTCTTTTTAGCTACTGAATTCTTACTGTCTTCATTTTCGTGTAAAAATTTCTCTATTAAATTTCTAAGTTCGGAATCATCTTTAGAAATAGTCTTCTTCTCCTCTTGTTTTTCTTCCTCTTTCTTTTCAACTGGACTATTTTCCTCTTTTTTCACAGCTGTTTCGGCTTCCTTCTTTTCTGCAGTTTGACTTTCCGTCTTTTTCTCTGAATCTTCCTTTTTAACTTCCTCTTTACTGGTTAGTTCAGTTTTCTTTGCTGTTTTTTCACTTTCACTGTTGTCGGCGAGATTTAATTTTGCGATCAAACCTTCAATTTCTCTTAATACATTACTATCGTCATTACGTTTCAAAGTTGGTAGAAGATCTTCTTTATCATCGTAACGTTTCATTAATTCCAGCAAGTTTTCATCGCTTTCGGTTAAAGGTAGCGATTGAGTTTGATAGACAATGCAAAATGCAAGTAAAATCTTTAAAATCTTCGAAGACATTTCGTTTCGATATCTCAAATTTAAGTGAGAGTATTAGTTGAATAGTGATATAAGAATAGAACTAGTTGCTTTTATAATTCAAACCAGTTTCTTTATTAGAAAAGTTCAATATTACTTTTACAAAACAGGTAAAAGAGATGACTGAAGGATAATAAACATTTCTTTTCTATTCTTCTCGCTATGGTATTTCTCTCTCTCTCTCTCTCTTTCATTCATTCATTCATTCATTCATTCATTCATTCATTCATTCATTATTCCCTTTTTAACAATCATTCTACAGATAATTTTTAGAAAGAGTAGAAGAAGTATAAAAAATGAGTAGTTAATAATAAAATATTTATTAATAATTAATAAAATAAATATCTAATTAATGAATTATTTAAGTAATTTGAGTTTTAATAGAAAGAATTAATGAAATAAAAACTAGGAAATTAGAGATGAAAATGAAAATATAATGTAAACAAGCCAATTGGAATTGTTTGAAACTGTATTTTTAGTTAAATAGATTAAGAATCTTCATCATTTTCTTCTTCTTCTTCTTCTTCTTCTTCTTCTTCTTCTATATAAAATGAAATGAAAAGAGAAATTATTAGAGTTGTTTTCTTTTACTTGTTTATTTATTTTATTTGTAAATTGAAATAACCTTGAACGGAAAAAAAAGGTCAAGAAAGAGTAAGATCGAGCGGAAATCCTTCGTCTAAGAATAAATTTAGGTGCATGTTCCCTTCATCATTTTTTTCTTGGGTGAAATGACAATATTCATTAATTGATGTCTGTTTAATATTCCATTTTCCTTTAACAACCACTCTAGTAGATTGGATAGTTTCTTTATCATTGAATGAAAGTTTTGGTAAACAAAAGGTAACATTTACCAATTTTCCTTTATCTATCTCTTCCATCATGATTAATAGTGGTGTTTCTATATATAAAAAGTAATCTATTTCTGTTGTAATCGGCGCAGAGAAAATACTTATAGCAATTATATTATCGACCTTTATAACGTGTAAGGTATCAGTTTGATAAACGACTTTCCATAATTGGTGATAAGAAGATGATTTTATAGAGTGAATTGACGAATTTGGTATAATAATATATGAAAAATTATTGGATCTATTTTTAGAATGATCTAAATAAGCCAACAACTTTTTAGCTTTAGTAAAATTACCATTACCGGAATGATGCGGTGAAATTTGTTCTGAATGTTTTACGCATAAATGATTACCTTCGGAAAGAATATATCCAGTTGAGAAATTATCTAAAATCCAATATCCTTCTCCATTCCATTCTTTCTTTAATTTTTCATCATTTACTATCACATTTTCGCCATTTAAATCCAATTGAAAAATTGTCGTTACCAATTGATGATTGTGCTTAAAATATAAATTTGTTACAACTACGAAAATCTTTCCGTCAATTGCAATTACGCTCTTTCTAAATGTAAAATAGTCATTTTTCTCATAATTTTCCCCTTCATTTTGACGAAAATCCATTGCGAACATACCAACTTCTCCGTGTTGATCTACCCTACCCAGAATACTATTTCCTATTGATTTAAATCTTAACGAGCCAACAAAGTCGTAATCTTTATATAGATATTCATCGTATCTCTGACTATTTGGATTTAATTGATGAAATGGTAACACTTTTGTTGTTGTTCCTGGTACAAAATTCCAATTGAAACCTTCTATAGAATGTCCATTCTCTCTATTTATATATCGTAGATCTATAGAACCGTAACTTTGATATTTACCAAATCTGTTCTCGTTGGGATAGATTTCCGCACCCCATAGTTTTGAGGTTAGGCCTAGTGTTTGGATTGGATAAAAAACATGATTATTAGATACGTTCCTATCAAAAACTAAGGTTCGAATGTTAAGAGAATAAAAGGTTCTGCTTAGGAAAAAAATGTAAATATTCAATTAAAGACTAAGAACCTTGATTCTCTTGGGAAAAACCTTTAATTGTAATCGCCCAATCGTCTTTCCTATAGATAGCCAAAGGTCCGTAATTTACTTGCCAAAATCCTTCTTCTGGTCTATACTTGAGAAATGGAAAGCTATTATTTGTCAAGGTAAGATTATTATAGGCCATCGCTAATTCTCTATCAAATTGATTATCTCCATAGATGTCTCCTCTTAAATAGACCAAACGCTTTATAGACCATCCTGGTAATATTTGATAGGCATTGAAAGGATAACGTCCGCAAAGACCATTCGAGAATTTCTCATTAACGCATAACACTAGTATTAAATATACAGTTTTCTTTAATTGTTCATAGCCTGTGGGTTTTATTTGGAAGTTTGTTGATTTTAGTGTATCAAGAGCATTAATTAATTCCTTTAAGGCATATAAATAATGAGGATAGAAAGTAGAATGGTGAAAGCACGTATTGTCAACTTTAAAACCATCGCATCTTCCTTTAGACTTAATGAGAAACTTTTCAAAATAAACCTTTGTTAATTTCATTGCCCGAATTCTTTCTTCATTCGTTTCATATAGGAAAACATTTTTCGTTATTAATTGCACGCAACCAACGTAGATTTTATCTGTACTTATATTAGAATAACTATGCGGATCTCTTATTCCTATATGTTCGTGAATCCAATACAGCATATCGGATAGTTTAGTTCTTAACTCTTCTGTAAGTTTATCGGCAATTAAGCAAATAGCTGGGGCGAAGTCTCTGAAAGAGTATGCAAATTTAATATCACTACTAAACCTATTATGACTCCCATAAGCAACGCCTTGATCTAGAATATGCTTTGCTAATACAACAAATCTATTTAAGATATTTTTATCATTCGTGTGATAGATATATTTTGAGAATATTGACAAGATTTTTTGAATTTCATTCAAGTTATCGCCCGTTATTCTCTTGCCGCAAAGTCCATCTGCCGTCTCTTTTATCTTGTATTTAGCAAAATTAGCAATTTGTTCATCAACTAATTGCTTAGATGGGGCCATTTTACCGCTTAAAATGGGTAATAGTTTCCCTTTAATAATAAACAAACTATCTAAATCGTTTTTACAAGCTTCTTCTAATGGTATAGACCAGGAAGCAAATTGTTCTTTTGCCCTATCCTCATCCGAATAATAACCTCTTATTCCAGGATTATACGGTGTCCTAAATCGTTTCTGTCTTTCCTTAACCCATTGGATATTATCAATAAATATACAACCCCGAACATTTGTCTTACATTCTATTAGAACGTGGTAGATATCATCCGACCTCCGATCTCCTACTATTTCTGTATCGTATTTGTAGCTACGTAAAACTTTACGCCATCCTTTGAAATTGAGTAGAATTGAGAAAGAATGAAGAATATTCATAGATTCACTTAAGAATTTAATAATTAATTGGCAATGTGTGTCATTTGAAAAATCGCTATCATTATATATATCCATTGAGAAGGTATGCCAATAAAAATTTAGTATTTTATCCTTATCTATATCAATATATTCAAAATAGAGACAACATTCACCATTAAACTCCCATTTTAACGAAGAATTACATGATAAATATTTCTCTTTACTTATTTTACAAGATGAATTGAAATATTTCAAATTTTGCGGTATTCCACTATCGAAATTTAACATATTCTTATTTTACTTCTTTCGCTAAATGACTTTTTTATGTTGGAATATTAACCTTTTTTTTTGTTTTTATATGACCTAGTTTTAAAAAGTATATAACGTTCTTAATTAACATTCATATGAAGGACGGAGAAGGCAAAAAACAGTAAACTGATCGAGTTATGCTTCATTGTATCCAAAGTATTCTACTATTTCACTATACATTTCCTATAACACATTGCATAAAGCATATATAGTATACTAAACATAGTATATAACTACTCTTCGTCCTTAAAATTCGGTAATTACAGTCTAGTCATTCCTCTCTCTTACATATTTATTTATAAATATTACTTTTTATGTAAACTGGAAAATTTGAACATTCAATTTTATCAGATTATGCAGTATGAATAGTGAAAAGATAAAAAACAGTTCAAACGATACGGAAGGAATAAAGGTTTTAAGTTTAAGGGAAACAAGAACATCTTAGAGAGAATAGAAACAAAATGTCTCTCGTACTTAGAAGATAAAGATAGAAAGAAAGAAACAAGTAAATGCGTCGGTGTATATGTCATTAATAATGAAAATGTCTCTAATTAGAAAAGAGAGCAAGAAAAATAAACTAAGTGTATAACGCTAATTTCTACCCTTTTCCAGCATTCCCTTATATCTATATATAGTGTGTATGTATAGTATACAGTATATATATTTCGTATTTGTAAATGTACATACACTTTATGTGCAGTACGCAGTGTTCGGTGAAAAACAAGAAAAAGTGCAATCGATGCATATTTTCTCATGCGTCACTCTTCCCTTTCTTCTCCTAATCAGTCAGTAGACATTTCTTTTTACTATCAATAATTATTTTGTTTATTATAAAAGGTTTGAAATTTATGTAAGTTATATTTTTAGAATAAAGTGTCTATATATATATATATATATATATATATATATATAATGAATATTTTCGATAAGCATGTAATAATTAGTATAAAATATGAGATTATACCAGATAAATGTTACGTAATCTCCAAATCGGATTTTTTTTGGAGAGGTTCGTCATTTATCCTTTTGCCTTATAAATATTCATTGATGAATAAAGGTTTGTTATTGAAGCTAGGAATGAATAATCTTGATATAAGCAGAAAAATAAGCACCAGTGTAGTAGAAATTATCGCCGTTTTCTTTGTTAAATATACGTATAGCAGAAGTTGGCTGAAGTAATGGGGGAAATAAATAGAGCGAAAGAAAAAAGGAACGGAGGTGAAGGATAAGGAAATGATAATACTAAGAGTAATTATGCTCCTATTAAAAGAAAAAGTTAGGCAAATGGAGTAAAAAGAGAGAAAGTGAAAATAAAAGAATGATACTAAATAAAAATGTATTGAAGCTTTTTCGTTCTTAACAAGACACGTTAATGTTGTTGTTTTTTGTTTCCTTTAAAAAAAAGTTTCATAACAAATAGAGATAGAAGATACTAATATTAATCACAAAGTTTGTTTGTCTTTCTTCTTTGACATAAAATCAATATAATTAATATAAATATAATAAGAAGAATTTCTTATTTTCAGTAGCAGAGATATTATCATTTTTTTTTTGTAGTCTCTAATTAAGCATTAAAAAATCTTGGTTGTCTTTTTCCCTTTTTTTCTTTTTTTTTTCCTTTTCAAATGTGTTTATATTTCGTCTTTTTTTGTTGGTTAAAATCACAGAACAAGCGGTAGACATAAGAATATTATATAAATCATGTGTTGAAAGTGAAAATTTTTGTGAATAGAATGCGAGCTATTACATAAGTCTTCCTTGCAGCAATAAACTCGATGACTGGCGATATTGTCAGGCTTGCAGTCTTTCTGCAATTTTATACATATACATATATATATATATATATATGTGAGTATATGTATACAGTGTATAATTTATCTACTTACTCTACATCCTCGATGTATGACTCTTCCATTTGGATCTGTTGCCCAAGAAAACTGAAAAATAAACAAGAAAATACTTAAATTTATGAAATGACTAATTTGACTATTAGCTTACATAGCACATTTCATCTTTATGACATCGTAATTGACGAACGTATTCGTCGTCAGAATTGAAAGGAATTCGACATGCCAATGTTCCTGAAGGACCTCCATTTCGATTGGAAAAATTACATGACCAACATCTTAAGCCACTTGGTTCATCCTTTTCATTTTGGGCTAGTGCCTTTGAAGTGTTGTATCGACTTCCATAAGTGATTCCTATAAAAAACGATAGTTATAATACACATTAAAAGAATAGGATAAGGTACGATTACTAAATACGTCAAATAAAGGTACTAATTATTAAAAAAGAGACAAACAAATATCATTTTATAACAATGAATATTATAATTCGTTTTATTCAACGCCTTTCTTGCTAATTTCATATTTTGTTTTTAATATTTTTTTGTTGTTCTTTTTAGTTTTGTTTTTTACAACCGTTAGACTTTTTTTATCCAAATAAATAAATAAATAAATACATATATGAAACAAAAGAAACGAAATGTTCTGGAGTTGATTGAAGGAGGGAAAAGAAGGTACAATAATGAGAACTTTCCTTTCTTTTACGAAACAAATACATGTAGTTACAATATATATATATATATATATATATATATATATATATTTACATATATCGTATTTTATTCAGCAACAAAAGAATACATTTGCCACAATTTTGACGATTTGACGACGTTTATCACAAATCAAAGGCAGATTTTGGCAAAATTGGCAAACTACACGTATACCATAATTTACCTATAAACATACTTTTTTAACATAGCCTTACTGGCCAGTTTGTTTTTTACAATTTGAATGCTAAAGCATCTCATTTTTGATGTTATATTTTTTCCTTATTTTACTAAATAAACCACTTTATTTTTTTCTCTTAGCTAATAAACTAAAGAAAACATAAATCGTTTCTACCAACAATCTATGAGTTAATAGTTTTCGCAGTATAACCGAATTTGCAGTTTTCCTTTTTTCTCATAGAAGTAAAAAGTGACAAAAGATTATATAATTGATTGAGAAGGTTTTTGGTTTTTGCATTTTGTTTCTTTTGCATCTCTTTCTCTCTCGCTGCACTTCTTTTTCTCTGGCATGTAGAAAAGGAAGAGAGAGAGAGAGAGAGACAGGGAAAGCGAGCGCAAGTACAAATATAAAGAAAACGGTAGAGTAATAGATGCATAAAAATATTCTGCTATTTGTTTTGCGACTAAAGAACTGCAAAAACATAAATGTAGATGTATATATATATATATATATATAACTATAATTGAAAAGTAGTTTAATGAGACAGTTATTAAAGAAATGTGAATATTTTGATCGTAGCCAACTGAACATAACCTAGTAGAAAAATTTTTTTCCTATTTATATTTTCTTTGGCAACGTTAAATATAATCAAATAAAGAGAGAGAGAGAGAAAGAGAAAAGAAAAAGTGAATATTTTCCTTCGATACATACATCTTAAATAAAATAATATCACAAACTATTGAAGCGCGTCAAATATTCTCTTATTGTACACGTCAGAAGAATGGTTTTTGTTTTATTATAGTTATTTTTTTAGAGACTTTTCTTTAACTGGTTTGTGTTACCTTCTTTTTAGAGTTTGATTTTTGGTTTTTGTTAATTTTTAGTTGTTTTTTTTGTTTGTTTTTAATAATTTTTAAAGCTGTTTGATTTCTGTTCAACTAAAAATTCTTTGTGGAATTACAAAAAAGCAGAATGAAAAAAGAATAGAGAGAAAAAAGACTAAGAAGTTCGAGCGGTCAGTCAGCGACGAATTGCAAAAGCTTCCAATGCAACATTTTACGTAGCCATGGTTGGTTTCCGAGTCAAAACAATCTTCCTGTTTAGAATAATAAAAAAGAAAAAATTTTCTTATAAAAGTAAAATAAACGTTCTGATATCGAGAACTATTCAAAGGGTGTAAGACGATCTTTTCACTAACTGTACGATTTAATTTACCCAATCTAGAATACGAATGAAAAAGCAGCAATTCTATACAATAGCCTTTTATATAACCCTCTTTCAGAGTCGATTTTTGCATATTTCCTCTTCAACTATTCTTGAAATGAAACAAGGAAAAAGGAAATTCTGGTTATTTTTAAAGCAAATAAATCGTCAACAGCCACTTTGAATATTCCTCCTTATTTTAATAGTATATTAACCTTACAACCCCTATATAAATGATATTCTTCATTTGAACGATGCACGGATTTCTAGAGGAAGGTGAAAACATAAAAATTTACATTAATATAACACTCTCTTTCTCTTCTTTAAAACCAAAGATATAATAAAGTGTTTGAATGATGATCAGAAAAAAAATTAAGAATAAATAAAAGAGCTGAGGTAATAAAGAGAAAGAGACAGAAACAGAGATAGAAAGCTTACGTAGCAGGGAGTATCACAGGTTTGAATCAGAATGTCTTCGGATCGAAATGGTTCTCTGCAATTAAGATCGCCACTGGTCGTAGAACCATGCGAACTAAATACGCAACTGTAACATTGGTATTTAGGTTTTTCTACAGGAATTTCTTGATCACTCATCTCTTTCTCATCAAATTCATAAGAAGCGCTTGTCGCCTTTGTCCAGGTGACGCCTGAAATTTTTGTACGAGTGAAATAAACAAATATAAAATAATTGAACATAAAAAAAATAATCAGAAAGAATATAAATAGAATAATTTATACATCTAAACTGTATATATTTATATACAGTATATACAAAGTATATACACTAAATCTATTGTGCGTATATCGTTATGTATATAATAGTTGAATATAGGCTAACTGTATTGAAAGAAAGTTAACAATAAAAAGGAATTTTTAAATTATGAATATATCCTAATAACTCTTATGATTCGTTATGAAAAGTGAAGATTATCTATCTAATTTCCTATCGTTTACTTTTCCTTACTTTTCTCTTTTTTTGCTTTTTAAAATTAATCCTTAAACGAATGATTTTGACATTCTATTCTTTCAAATCTCTATTTTTCCCTTTCCCTCTCACGCTCTCTCTCTCTCAAAGTTTTTGGAATGAGAAAGATGTATTGACTATGTTAAAAATAAACTAGGAGTGTTATATTTCCTTTATCTAAAAAAAATATTCAATAATTAGCTCTTTCCTTCTTTCTTTTTATCACTTTGATCTAATTCTTATCCATTATTATATATATCTTAAATATATAATTTTTTCCTATATTATATATTATATAATGTATACATAATAGTGTTGCAAAAAAACACTCTGTATTTTAACCTTTTTGCTATTCTGTTTCTTTTCTTCTTCTTTAATTTGTCAGAAATAAATCATAAGTATATTCTATTTTGTCAAGTATTACTCTTTAAAAAGCATATAGGCTTAAAAGAGGAGCTTAAGAATAAGAGACGAGGAAAAGAAAAAATAGCTGAATGATGTGTTCCATATGTTTTACGCTAAAGTTCTATTGTTATACTAGATATCAAATAGCTGAATTGCTGATACGAAACATCCTTTAGCTCTATTCTGTAAACGATCTCAAATGATAAATTTTAGGGAATTGAAGGAAAATAGCATCATTTATATTATTTAAGCTGATGATTTCAAGTTGTATAGCAAAAAGATAAAGAAATGTATAGAGAGAGAGTGTGTGTATGTGTGTGTGTCTGTACGTTACATGCAGAGAATAGAGAGAGAGATAGAGAGTGAGTGAGAGAGAGAGAGATAAATAGATAGAGAAATCTCACTTTATATTTTCTTTTGATTAGAAAAAATTTTGATCAAGGTATGCAATTACATTGAAAAGTAGGGTAAAAAATTAGAATAAGAATTAAATTGATAGATGGCGTTACCATAGAAATATCTATACCAATAATGACAATAATAAATAGTTTCCCTACTGAATAAAATACACTATGTTTTCTATTTTTGGTTTCTTTAGATAAAATAAAATTTTTTATAAAAAGTAAAAAATTAGTTTAAAAAAAAAATAAAAAGAAAAAAGTATATAAAAATAAATATATATATATGTATAAACATATATATATATATATATACTGTTTATACACATTGTATATATTGAAAAACAATAAAAAAGTAACTACTCACCAAATCTTAAAAAAAAAGCAAAACAGCACAGCATGCGAGGAGGAAGTGTGAAATAAAAATAAAAAAAATAATAGGTCTATTTCGATAAATCATAAATTTTATGCTGCCAAAAGTAAAAAAATATAACATCAAAAAGGAAATCAAAAAAAGATATTTTATAAAATAAAGAAGAAAACCAAAATATTTCTGTCGATTTGTAAAAAAACAAAAATATGACAAGGAAAACAAGAAGAATTTTTTGGCTTTATTTTTTTTTTAAATAATAATTTTTGTTTTCTATTTCAACCATAATAATTTCTTTTTTGTGTCGTTTTTAGGAAAAATGCTAATATCAAAATAAAACAGAAAAAATACGCACTTTGTTTGTCAGGAGGGAACAAACAAATGGGTTAATTCACGGCGCGTGAAAATTAGTTGCAAACCGGCACGTTTTACAGCCGTCTTATTATGCGAAGTAAACTTTTTTTTTTTTTTTTTTTGCAGTAGAGAACTGCAAACAATAACATTCCCGTGACAGACTTCGTTATTCAACGTAAACACGGGGCCTACTAATTGCGGAAACATTCGCAGTGCCGAGCGTTTTAATGGTTCTATTCAACTTCACATTGCTGTGACTTATCAAACCACTTGTTTTCGACCAGTCGTCGAATTTCCTGGATAAGTTTCTGATTTTCTTTTTCTAACCGCCTTGTTTCTAATTCAATTACAAATTAGTTTGCTCTTTTACAGACTCTTTGTAAGAGTATACTGGAGAGAGGAGCGGTAAGGAAAAAATATAGGCAGAAATAGATAGAATAGATAAATAGATAGAAAGTAGAGAGAATTTGAGAGAGGGAGGCCTAAAACAGGTTCACTTTGCCTTGCGTTCAACTTTGTTACAAATTTACAAATTCTCTCAAGTATCACGTGATTGCACCAAGTAGAAAAAGTCTTTAACAGCCTCCTAACTAACTTTCGTGCCAAACGTGAAGCGTTTGTCAGGACAGAATAAACAAGCAAAATGGTTCAAACCGGTGATATATTGTATAGCCGTCTTATTATGCGAGGTAAACTTTTGCAGCAGAAATTACAAACAATGACATTCCTGACAGCATTCGTTATTCTGCGTAAACAGAGGCTGCTAATTACGCCCATTGCTGTACGGAGTATTTTAATAGCTCCTTTCACTTCACTGCCTGCTTCTAACCCCCTCTTTTACAGTTTATAGGCTAGTTCACGGAAAGGCTACATTTTGTAGTACACGTATTTCAAACAAACTGTTGTTTAAATAGAAAAGAAAATCTTGTAAAAGCTAAATAGAACGTCATTATATAATAGTTTATAAACTTTTTCCCTCTTTAAACTTTGCCAATCAACTTTATCCTTTTGACTTTTGGTTTTACTGTTATAAAATACATATACTACCCATTTAGCGATAGTGAACTTTCAGATGCACAAAAATGTATACATATAGACACACTCATACTCACACACACACACACACACACACAGTGCAGCTATAGGGCATATACTAATTTGCATATTCGTATGAATATCAAGATCGAAAGGTAATCTTAACATTTTGCTTCGGGTAACCTTGTTAATTATCTCGTCATTATTATTAATTATGAACTCTTAGTGGCTTGTTTAGCATGTATGGGAGGTGGGTGAACTGGCCACTTGTTTCCATGTCACGTGATTAGAGCAGATAAAGCGTGAAGATTTACTGAGTCACTAGCCTCCAGGCAAGCTGACTACAAAATTT